AATCTCCCCCTGCCGCTGCACCCATGTCTCCTGGGTTTCTCTGCTTTTCTCCTACCCCAGCACCCCATTTCCCCTCATCTTTTAGGGACCCTAGGAACAGAGAACTCTGAGGAGGAGGAGGCTGTGCCTCTGTCCTCTGGAAGCTGGGACTCAGCCAGCTGTTTTCCCTGGGAAGCCAGCTGTTTTGCCCATTAGGAAGCAGCTCTGGCCAGCCTTGCAGTGTCCAACTCTGCTAAAGTCGTTTTCTCGCTACTGCAGCGTGGCAGCCCCATTCAGTGCCCGGCCCAGTAGCACTGTTAACTCCTCCAACTCCAGAGTCCCCCCACGCTCAACCTCTATCCTCAGGGTCCCTACACACACCCCGAGGGTCTGTATTAGCCCTTCTAAGGAGAGATGCTCCCTGCCTCTCCCCACCCAGACCATGGGAGCACCAAAAATCGGGAGGGTACCATCCCAGGCTGCTACCCAAGTGTTCTCTCCTCTATCAGAGGGATTGTCCTCAGGTGACCCTAGACACCACCATAGCCCAAACAGTGGGCAGTGCTGAGAGTAACCAGGTAGAGGCAAAATACATTTCTTCTTTGCAAACCTGCCTGGCAGAGCAAAGAGACTATCTCAGGTGGTACGACTGGGTTCTTTTTTTTGGGGGGGGGAACTACCCAGTGTACTTAAAGAGACAGAAGATGTTGGAATACCAAATACCACACCACCCTGAGCTAGAGTTGGAGAAATGCCCAGGCTGCCGAGAGGGGCTCAGGAGATCATTCAGGTCCAAGGAGCAGAGTCAACAGCTGGAAGAGATCCAGAGTTAGAGAGGACAGCCCTGTCCTCTGGGTCAAGCTAGGCCAGCCCCAAGAGAAGAGGCTGTTAGACAGTGTCCTGGGGTGCAGTGACTCTCTCCCCAATCAGGGAAAGGTCCCTCAGGACACAGTCTCCCATGTAACCTCCAGGACACATGCCCCATAGTTGCTGAGCGAAAGGCAAGTCAAGGCCTGGGGAAACTCCCATGGAAGTAGATAGGACTAAGAAGTCCTGAAGGCCTCCAAGAACTAGGGTACCGCCCCAGTGGAGTAAACTGTCCCCCAACGAAATGAGGAGACAAGGAAGTCTAAGCTCTGGGGTCCTATTCACCATCACCACACAGCTAGAGCACCCGGTTTGTTTCGGAGCTGTACTCAGAACCACCCCTAGAACTGTGGCACCCCTCTCTCTTCCCCTCAGGCTCCTTTGGGGGGGATGGGTAAGGACCAGCTAGCACTGAGTGGGATCACAGGGTCTAGGAACGACCCCACAGGATGCAGTGAGTGATCCATGTTCTTTCCCCAGTTAGCTGCTCTCCCCCTCCCCCTACCATGGGTCAGTCTCCTAGTCCCAACCTAGACAGCTGGAACTGGGCAACACAAAGGGCCTGAGGGCAGGACAATAACCTTCTGTCCATTCCCAGATGCTGGCCTGCAGGCCTGGTCCAAGCTGGGGGCCGGAGCCCCAGAGGGGCCGTGCCAGGCCCCCCGCGGGCAGCAGACAATGTTGGCAGTGATGGAGGGGAGGCATTTCAAAGGGTTTTGTTCCCTGGCTGACCCCCTCCCCCCACCTCAGCCAGGGGTGAGGCCCTAGCCCCACCTCCAGCCACCCAGAGCCTCTGAGGAGCGGCCGGGAACCAGGAACTGGCCACATTCTTGACCCCGGGGGAAAAGTTTAGAAACTCAGTGCCTAGCGGAACAATAACAGTGTCATGGAGCAGATTTAGGAGTAACTCTTACCATCACAAAGCAGGAGACAAAGGGGAAGGGGCTGGGGGTGGGGAGGGGGAGGGGGAGGGAGGGAGGGAGGCCTGGAGAACTCTGGAGCTTCCAGGGGGCCCTGCTCACCACTCCAGGCGAGCTCCCAGGGCCCAGCTGCAATGCCCCAGACCACTGGTCGAGTAGGAGAAGATGAAGGCAAAAACTAATTTGAGATTGGGGTTGGGGGACCTCTACAGTAGAAAGGATTCAGATATTCAGATTATGTACAAAATCTGAATCCTTATGCCTTACTGACATGAAAAGCAGATTAGAAACCTGGAGAAGAAATCTGGGACAGGATTCCCCTTCCCCGACTAGTCCCGAGGGGGTCTCAGGGCTAGAGCCAGGGCTACTTCCTCCCGACTCTGAAAAGATCAGGTTCTCTTAGATCCTGAAACAAATGCTTTATTGCCCTATGAGAAAAGCCTTATTCCCTTGCACTTAAAAAAAAACCAAACCAAAAACCAAACAAAAAAACAAAGATTAATTCTTATTCATCTGAGAGTAGAGACAGAGGGATGGACAGGATGGCCTCTCCAAGCCCTTTCTATCCAGAGACTTCTCTGATTCTATGAATGAACTCAGTTACTCCAACATTCTTCTACCCCAACACTATTGGATGGGGACTGTTCCCTAATGCTAGCAGATGAGGTTGGGACTTGGATAGGGAGGCCCTGGACATGGCAAGAATCTAGACCTAAGACTCTGATGCCCTAGAATAATTCACCCAAGGCTGAAGAATCAAACTCCCAAAGCCACCTACTCTTAGCCCTAGACATGGCTAAACTGGCGATATTGTGTGGGGTGAGGGTAGATGGCCTCAGTTTCCATGGAGGGATTGGGCTTTAACTACAGCAGATTGAATTAAAGTTGGAAGTTACTGGGAGGTACCCAGCTGGGGGGTTTGGAAAATTCCCTTTTCTAGAGATTTGTAAGGAAAGAGAATAATTTAAAGTTTAGTTTAAGAGAAGAGGTAGGAAATCTGGTACTATGCCCCAAGGTTACTGAACTGACCCAGTGATACATTACTAGACCTATACTTCCAAAGAGATCAAAGAAAGAAGAAAAGGATCCATATGTATAAAAATATTTATAATAACTCTGTGGTGGCAAAGTTTCCAAACTAAGAGGGTATCTACCTACTGGGGAAAGGCTGAACAAATTATGGTATGAGGATAAAATGGAATACTATAAGAAATGCTGTAAGAAATGATGAAAGGGATGGTGTGAAAGGAACCCGGGAAGATTTGTATGAACTGACGCAGAGTAAAGGAGAACCAGAACAATTTATCCAAAAACAACATTATAAAGACAAAAAGACTTTGAAAGACTTAAGAATTCAGTTCAACACAATAGCCCATCTCAGTTCCATGATGAAACTCATACTACTCATATCCTGACAGACTTGGGTGCCGATTAAGACATTTTTGGTACATGGCCAATGTAGGAATTTGTTTTGCTTAATTATGCATGTTTGTTACAAGGATTTTCTGTTTCTTTTTTCTTTTTCTCAATAAGGAGAGAAGGGGGTGGGAGGGAGATATTTTTGTTCACTGAAAAAATTGATTTTTAAACATTTGAAAAGAAAATTATCAACATAAGAAGGCCATATTAATAGCAAGAACAACAAAAATAACATGATTACATCAACATGTACAGAAAGAGCTTTTGACAAAATACAACACCCATTTCTGTTTGAAAAAACAAAAACAGTAGAAAATATAGGAATAAATAGACTTCTCCTTGGGGAAAAAAAATACACAAGTCTAAGATAACTTCTCAGAGCCTCTTCTAGCCAGGTGTATTTGATTTCATAGATGCCTGATCCAAGGAGTAGCAAGGATGGAGAATCTCTCTCTCTCTCTCTCTCTCTCTCTCAATCTGTGTGTGTGTGTCTCTGTCTCTCTGTGTCTGTCTCTCTTCATCTGTGTCTCTCTCTGTTTCTCTCTTTCTGTTTCTGTCTCATCTCTCTGTCTGTTTCTGTTTCTCTGTCTTTTCCTTTTATCCCCAAACCCACCCCCCAATCTGAATTCCTGATACCTCTCAAAAGGGAAGTTAGGAGCTGTGAGAAAGTTTCTACCAATATTTTAAATCTCATGTCCCAGGGTAGGCATTATGAAATTATTAACAGCAGTTAGGTGGCACAGTGAATAGTGTTGGACCAGAAAGACCTGAGTTCAAATCTTCCCTCAGACTCTGGCTGTGTGACCCTGTAAAATGGAGATAGTAATAGTTCCTACCTTCCAGGGTTGTTGTGAGGATAAAATGAGGTGATATTTGTAAGCTCTTTGTAAACTTTAGAATGCTATATATTTATTATTAATTAATATTATTAATTCCTTCCTGGAGGGAAAGTGAGATTCCTATGGGGAAGAGGTCAAAGACACAGAGGCTACCTGGAGAGGGAACAGCACTAAACTAGAAGTGAAAAGACGTTTGGATTTAGAATCTGCTCAGACACTAATTCACTGAGTGACCTTGGACAAGCTGCTTCATCTCTCTAGGTCTCAATTTCCTTATTTGTAACATGTGGGGGTTGGATCACACGATCTTTAAGATCCTTTCTACAGAATCAGGTCATAGATCTGGAGCTGGAACAGACTTCAGAGACCATTTGGTCTTACCCCCTCATTTTAAAGATGGGGAAACTGAGACCAAGAGAGGTTTAGTAAGTGACAATGGTTGCTCCTCTGGCTCCATTCCACTTGTGCTCTTCCTCATTCCCTGTCTTCCCTCCCTCCCCACTACCTACATGGTTGTGGCCTTGACTAAAGCTTCCTCCTACCTGCTGATATAGGCCATGCAGACAGAGAGATAAAGAGAGTCAAAGACCCAGGCTTATCGAAAGAAGGAGGGATGAATGACAAATGGTATAGAACTCAGAGAAATGGAAAAATGGGGAGACTGAGAAGCAGGAGAGGGAAAGAGCAATCTTTCTGAAATCAGGAGACTCCAACATCTCCAATATCTGGAGTAATAATTCCTTTAGCTGCAATGGAGATCATTGTCAAGTCCAGAGCCACCTTCCCAAAGTCAATTATGCCTCTATTTTTCCTCCATAGCTTCCCTTGTGGCAAAAGGATCTAGGAGTCCATCTACCTGCCCCTTGGATCCAGAAGTCACCCACACAAACATATTTCCTTTCTGCCACTGAACCCTGACCACGGCGACGTTCTCCAACCCTGCCCTCCCTCCTCCCCTGTGAGAATAGCCACTCACCCCAGGACAGAGATGCTCTGGGGGCTGGCTCCAGGGCCTCTTCAGTTGGGGGTTGGTAGGGGAACAAGGGGATCTTCACTGCCACAGACTGATTTCCCTGCCTGATTCCTGTCAGCCTGGGCTGCCACCTGGCCTTAGACGATATTTGTTCTTCCTGAGGTTTTTTCCTGGCAGCTGCTGGACAGGAAGGAGGCTGGAAAGGGGGAGGAGAGGGGGCAGATCTAGGGGGAGGTGGTTTCTGGAGAGGAAGACCTGGTTCCAGCCCTCCCCCCCTAGGAGGGGATGAGATTGGAGGGGCACCCACCTGGCCACCCTCCACTCCAGCTGTCTCTCAAGAGAGGGAAAGGAGGGAGACAGGAAAGAAGGGAAACAAGGAGAAAGGGAGGGAGGGAGGGAGGGAGGGAGCATCAGAACTGAGTCCAGTCCTCTTCCTCAGACCAAGGTGTTTGCCTTTCCTTGCTACACACTGACTCCATTCAAAGACTTTGGATCTCTGGTTAGGATGAGTGCCAAGGCACCATGGAAAGGGATCACTGCTTCTGTCTTTCTCTCTTGTGTCTTACCATTCCCCTCCAACAATTCGAGGTGTTACAACTTTTTATAGAGGGGAGAGGGAAGGCAGGGAGGGAGAAAGAAAGGAGAAGAGAGACAGAGACAGAGAAAGGGGGTGAGGAAGGGAGGGAGAAAGAGGAAAGGAGAGAGAGAGAGAAGGAAAGAGGATGAGGGTTGAAGGAAGGAGGTTTGGGGGGGAGAGGTAGAGACAAAGTAGTTTTAGTATAAAGAGAAGAGGAAGAGCAAAAGAGGAATATGGCTGCAGAGAGAATGAATTATTAGAAGAAGGTGACACAGATAGGGAAATGGAAAAACAGGGAACTAAACAAATGTGGAGAGGCTGAGAACCAAAGAAATCCAAGTTGAGGATTGAGATGACAAATTGATCAAGGCCAAGAACCTAAATTGAGAGTGTAAGAGGGCCAGGGAGATGGAAAACTGGAGTCTGAAAGAGGAGCCTTAGCAGCTGCAGTGAACCAGAGAGCATCCCAGTTCCTGACTTCTGAAATCCAGCCTTAGGGGGCTGACCTGTCCCTCATACCCAGACAGCAAGACTGGGGATCTGGACCAGCCGGCGAGGGGAGGGGGTAAGGGGCAGAGAAAAGGGCAATGGGAGTGGGTTAGGTGAAAAGTTCCCTGAAGCCAGAGAGGCACCGGTTGGGGCCAGAGGTTCCCATCTCTGGGGGTCCTGCCCTCTACTCGGCCTGGCTGTCAGGTTGGTGTATAAAGGGGGTAGAAAGGTCAGCTACAGCCTTTCAGGCCTGTGGGAAAAACCGGGCCAATCTCCCTAATCCATATTTATTGGTGTGAGACATGAGGGGGATGCCCCCCCCTTCAGGCTGGTCCAGGTTAGCCCTAATACAGGCCCCATGTCACCCAAATCCTCTTGTTTGCTTCTGGATTGGCTACTTGGGGTCCTCCCCCTTCCCTCTTCCCCACTCCCTCTCCCCCCCATACCCACACCCCCCTCCAATTGGGGTTGCCAGGCAACCGTGGAAGGGTAGCCGAGATATTTTCTTTATTACAAGCGGCAGCAAGAAAGCAGCATGGCCCCGGGGAACTGGAATGGGGATGGGGGGAAGGGCTAGGGGGGCAAGTATCCTCTTCTCTGGGGGGAGACCCAGTGGCTTCATCAGCTCTGGTTCCTGCAGAGGGAGGAGTAAGGGAGTGGGTAGGGACTGAGTAAGGAGGAGAGATGTGGAAGAAGAGAGGGGAGAGATGGAGACTGACTAGGCCAAAGAATATTAAGTATAATATCTGGGTGGCTGTATGTTCCCTAGTCAGAAGATCTGGCCAGGGAGCCTATCATTTCAAAATCAGTTCAGATGGCAAGACATCTAGACACTTCATCGTATCACCAGGAAATTTCTAAGCCCAAAAGACTGAAATGGACTCAGACTGGACTTTAGGGATTATTTAACCCAATGCATTCACTTTACTGTTGAGGACACTGAGAGCTAGATAGGGAAAGTGACTTGTCCAGGTTTACCCACTACTTAGTGGAAGACCCAAGGACCAGAGCAAAAGTGTGTCCTGACTTGTCCTCTTAACCCAGGGCTCCTTCCATCATGCCAGGTTCCTTGGTCAATAGGGTCCTACATAAATGCTTGTTAACACCAGGTTCATCTGAATATTGCTACTCAAAGGAGGAAAAAAAGAATACAGTGACATTTGTATTATCCAAGAAATGTAAAGAATTTTATGAGCAGGATTAACTCCAAAGTTCCTTTGGCTTCCTTCCAAAATGCCAGAGTCTGCTTCCCTGCCTTAGTAAGCACAGTTAAATGATATGATTAGATCTTGGTCTTCAGAGTAAAAAATTCTAGGTCTTCTTCCTAATATCAGTTTACACTGTGAAAAATTGGAGGCCTTATTTATTTGGTACCATAGGGAATGGCTTATGTATATGATTTCAGGGGTCATAAGAAGACTCTCCCAGCCCCCAAATTATCCCTCCCAGGTCCCTTATTCCTCAGATTCTTCACCTCTCTGGTTTAAACTTTCTATCTCTTAAAAAATGCAAATTCCCTTTGGAAAGGATAACTCAAATGGGAAGAGAACATGCATTTATTAAGTGCCTACTGTATATGCTACAAATATTATCTTATTTGATCCTCACAACAACCCTGTGATGTAGGTGACATTATGATCCCCATCTTAAGTGCTTATCAGTCATTCATTCTCCAGCTTAGAGGAATTTGAGACTTTTTAGAGATCAGCTTTTGGAAGGGAGAGAACAGAAAAGGCTCAGGATGGATGTGTGGGTGGGGTGTGAGTTTCAGAAGGGAGAAAAGGACACCAAAAGTGAGGAGGACATCAAAAAATGAATTTCAAAAACTTTTTTGTCTTTAAATAAAAACACTGGGTTTTGGAGCACGGGCCCCAGGGCATCTCCTAAGTGTTGCTGTTTTGAGAAAATTGCAGGCTTCAGCTCATTTCCTTATCATTTACCTTTTCTACTCCTCCCCAGCTCCAGTTCCTCTTCAAGGGGGAGGCTAGGAAAAGAATCCTAGCACTGACTTAGTATCAGGAGTCAGTCAGTATTTCTAATCCTGAATGTGCCTGCTGCTAAATCATAAGTGTAATATTTTACAGCATTTATTAAGTGCCTATTGTGTGCCAGGCACTGTACTACATGCTTTTTAAATATGATCTCATTTCATGGGGAAACTGAGGCCAACAGAGGTTAAGTGACTTGCTCAGGGCCACACAGTTAGTAACTAGTCTGATCTGAATTCAGGTCTTTCTAACTCCCAGTCTGGTACTCTAACCATGGTGCCATTTAGTCACCTTAATTTTTCTTATCTGCAAAACTGGGCAGACAACCCTTTAAGCTCTATACTTAAGTTCTAGCATCCTATGTTCTAAGGTCACTTCCAGCTTTGGCATTCTTCATTTCCATGAACATTCTGGGTAGTTGAGATTTGTTTAGGAGAGGTTTTATTGTGATCAGTATCAGACCAGAACCAATAATTTCACTTAATCTCTGGGATAGGAATTACAGTCCAGAGATGTGCCTTCTTCATTCATATAGCACCACAGCCTTTGAACTGCCTTGAGGAAGATTCAGAAAATTAGATTCTTCCAATAAGGGTTCTAAGAGTCAGATTCTAGATTCTTAGTAGGACTTGAGGAAATTATCTCCTGAAATTATCCCCTCAAGGCAGCGAAGCAGAGGAAACTGCCTAGAGAGGAAGGAGAGGAGGTCGGGAAGGGAAATCAGAAATCAGAAGGGATGGCTGGTGTGTAAGCTCCAGGAAGGCAGGGATCCTAGCTCTCCAGTTTAGTACAGGTACTCTACAAACAGGAGGACATTACCTATGGATTCTATTGCCTCAGGCTCCATCTTTTTCCACTCCCACCCCCCACCCTTTTTGGGGAAAGGAATGCTGAGAGCTGAGCTCAGAAGTTTTACTGACTCTAGATTTGAAACCCTGGTGGTATCCTCTCTGTGGTTCCCTTTCTCCATACCCAGCTTATATTCAACAGTTCCTGCCCAAGCCCCCTCAGATATTCCAGGAGCCCACTTAGATCTCCCTCAGATTGGTTCTAGCAGGACACAGGCAGATCCCTGAAGACAGGCAGCAGTAGAAGAGAAAGGGCCTTAGCCCCACTTGATCTCTGATAGGAGCCTCTAGCTGATGGGCTTCAGCCTCCAGTAGCCAGAGACTGACCCTGGATTTGCTAGTAGTCTGGTTATAAGGGGTAGTTGGGGGTACAGCTCTACATTCCCCCCCAACACCTTTTATTTTTTCTTCTCAGCTAGGGGTAACACTAGCATTATCTAGGCCCTACATAAAATCGAGGGAATTTCCCTTTTGAAGAGATTTTTCCCGTACCAGATCTCTCCTCAACAACCCGAGGTAGCAACCCAAGAGGCTTGTGGTGGAGACAATGGGACCCCAAACTAGGGCTGGAAAATTGGGAAGGGCGCTTAAGATCTACATAGCGTTAGACTCAGGCTGGGGTATCTGCGCTCTCAGGCTGCTGGGGGGTAGTGGCAGGGCAGAAGAGACAGGAACTTTATGAGAGGACTCACGGGGCTGGGGATGGACAAAAGTTCTTAATTGCATCCTTTGGGCTTCTAGGATGGCTAAGGGGGACATTAGGGAGATTGGTCTGGGAAGTAATGGGGGGGGTCCCTGGGCCACTCGGTGACACCCTTGGGAAGGGGGCAGGACAGTTCTGGGAATGGTAGGAGCCAAAGGGAGGAAGCCATGAGGCTGGGGGTGGGGTGGGATGATGGGGTCCAGGGCAGGGTGCTCAAGGGAATGGGGTGCGGGCTGTTGCGGGGGGAGACCCGCGGGGAGGGGCGCGCTATGTCTTTAAGAGCTGCCTGACTGCAGGTTGCAGCTGTCGTGGTGGGGCTCTGGAGACAGCGGAGATTCATTACTCCACCGACACAATGACCATTGATCTCCCCGTGGTGTTATTCAAATCCAGTACCAATTGCAGCCCATCCCCATTCTTCGGCGGCCGCCGCAGCAAGGCCCGTATTGTTGGAGGGGACGACTAAAAGCCCGCCCCGAGGCCCCCGAGCCGCCAGAGGCGCCTGCTCCGGCTCAGCCCTGCGCCTCGCCCTGCGCGTCCGGGGGGACGACGGGCGCCCCCCCTTCCCAGCCTGGCCCGGCCCGGCCCGGCCCGGCCCAGCCCCGGCCACCCACCTACCCCCCACCCCCCTCTCCCAGCCTGGATCTCTAGGGGAAGGAGTGACTCCGGCTGCAGGTGGCCCGGGGGGCCCCCAGCTCCGCACTCCCGGTTCTCTCGCATTCCTCCACTCCTGGTCTCTCCGGGGGCAGGGAGAGAGGGAGAGGGACCCCTATACCCAGCGTGGCCGGAGGGAGATAGTCCCCGGGAAGCGGAAAGCTCAGGAGTCGGTGCGTGCCGGGGCCGCGGGGCCGGAGGAGGGGGGAGCAGCGGGCCGGGGAACCTAGTAGTCGGGCAACACACCCCCCTCGGGCAGACTAGGAGGTCCCGGCTGGCTGTCGGGGGGCCCCGATGCTAGGGAAGGGGCAGCCAGAGATGCGCCTTCGATTCTTTCTGTTTGATGCTTTCCATCGACTCGGACGTGGGTGCCCGGCCCGAGAGCCCAGAGTCCGGGCCGGCCCGGTCTGGGGCGCCGGCGTCTCTGGCCGAGGGTAGCCGGAGTCCCCGCTCCAGCCCCGCCCAGCCTCGCGTCCTGGGGGCGCTCGGAGAACCAAAGCCGAGGTTTCCCGGCAAATTGGACCTTCTATCTGGATCCGGATTGGAGCTCGGCCGCAATCGATTTGGATCTGTCCGGGAGGACTAAGGGAATCACCGCGATTAATCAAGATCCGTCCCGGGGGTAGGGGGCGGTGGGCGGCTGGATCCGCCGGCCACCTATGGAGGTCTGCGAAGGAAGGCGGCGGTGGGGAGATCGGTCAGGCGCGGAGCTCCGAGACCCAGGTGTCCGAGGTGGCGCTTTCCAGGAGCTGGGCGGTGACTGGAGGTGGGGAGGGTAAGGGGGGTTCGGGGAGGACGGGGAGCAGGGGTTCCGCCGCTGATTGTCCAAACGCAATTCTTGTGCGAGTCTGCAGCCAACCGAGAATTGTGGCTGGACATCTGTGGCTGAGCTCCCGGCGCAACCGGGGAGATCAAGAGGTTGGTGGGGGGCGGGTATCCAGCAGTGAGTAGGGGGGATCAGGGCGGGACGAGCCCCCCTCTGAGGGCAGAGTCCCTGCCCCGGGTTCCCGGCGCTCGCTCGCTAGGGCTCGGGAATGATATGCGCCAGACGGATCCCTCATCCCCTCGAGGAGGGGGAATCGCTGGAATTCCCCGCTCCGATGGGGCGCGCGAAAGACAATCATTTATCCTCACCACCCTCATCAGCACCATCAGCCTTGCCACCACCCGCGCTCTCACGGTCACAGCCACGATGATCACTATCGCGATCGTTATAGTTGCTTTTGTTATGATCTTCCATCCCCAAAATCCCGGGTCCGGAGAGGAAGGCACGGCTTGGCTGGGAGCAGGGTCGGGATGCGGAGGATGGGTCCGGGAGCTAGTCTGAGGCCAGGGGAGGAGGAAGAAGAGAGGGGACGACGGAACCAGGGAAGCCGACTCGCAAACTCGTTTAGAATTTGGTGCGCATTAGAAAGCGAACATACAACCCAAACGAAATTGGAGTCTTCCTTGGTTCCTTCCGAAACAGACAGATTCGAAAAGCTTCGGCTACTATTCCCGGGGTTGGAAGCCAAGCCCGGCCGCGCAGAGCCCAGCCCAAGCCGGAGCTGGAAGCGGAGGAGCGAGCATAGTAAATTGCCTGCACTTTCGAAGCAGATCTTGGAAAAGAAATTTTATCAATTAAAAACCAAACAAACAAGCTGGAGAGATTTACATTCATTATTCATATATTTGAAGAAAATAAGCGCGTTTCCCCCTCCCCCGGAGTTTCGGTTTTCACCTTTGGGGCCGAGCTTGGGATCCTCGTAGGCGAGGAACCACATCGAATGGGCCTGCAGTTGGTCTGGGCACTGGGGATGACACTCAGCAGGACTGTCTTCAGCCCTGGGAGTTTTGCGGAGGTGACCCGGGGCGCTGGGAAACTCATCTTTCTAAGCGCCTGCTTCTCGCCTAGACTCGTGGGCGTTTGTTTGGAGCCGGGAAGGGGTTCCTTCGCTAGGAGAGACCGGGGGACCCAGGTACCTCCCGCCTCCGCTGCCAAGTCTACTCCAAGAGAGATGAGAAACACCAGGTCCTTCCCTCCCTGGGAACAGACAGGCGGCAGGGGCGGGGGAATCCCGCGTGGGGCGACTGGCCAAGGGGAGCTCCCTGCCGCAGACGCGTGGACGGCTGGGGGAGGCGGAGGGAGTCGGGCTGCCCAGCTAGGGCAAGGTGACGGCAGGTCTTATTACTTACAAGGGGGTGGGTTGCCCAAAGTGGGACTAAATTGAAAGGTAATTTAATTAACTCAGATGCATCAATAACACGCAGTTCCATATACGCAGGCAGAAGCATATAGTTTCCGCTGTACCAACAAGAGAAATACACCTGAATAGGTTCACGGAGACACTGTTTCTTCATACAGACCCAGAAGGGCACTTCCTTACAGAAATATAGGCTCCCACCAATAGATCCCTAAGTTTTATACAAACTACTCCGAGGCCCAAACCACACACCACTTAATCAGAAACCAGGAGACAAGTGCATCCAAACACATTACCAATTTTAATTGATACTAAGATAAGGAGAGCACAACCAGTCCAGGAGTTTTTACAATGAACACCTCATCTTTCACTCGACACCCCAAAGCCAGGAAGATCTAAGTCCCTCACATGGATCAACATGAGGGAGATGAGCTTGGCATTAGTCTCATTTAGAGGATGACTGGAGGTGGGTAATGGGTGGGAGGTATTTTTATCCTCTCCCCTCTTTCAGCTTTTCTGGAAAACCTAAGTATCTGGGGAAAATATTTTCTCTGTCCGTGGCAAAACCCTGCCCCCCCCATCCCTTACTCCTCATCTCTAGTTTTGGGACTGAGGGGATTGAATTCTCCTTGTGGATGTACAAAGGATCTTTGGGGCCTAGCTATGCCAATAGTTCTAGACTTTCAGACAAGTAACACATCCCTCCTCCTTCCTACATATATAAAGAGACAAGGTAAACAAACACCCAAGATTGGGAACAGGGATACCTAGCATGTACTGAGAATTCTCAATCTCTTCTGATGGATGAAGAGGGGGCTTCTCTGAAGACTGAGTGAATTGGGAATATATTAGGAAGGGTTCCTGAAAACTCAGTCTGACAGGCTAAGTGATAGACTAGAAATGAATCCTGTGGTAGATGGTGTAATACTCAACATTATGTATACAAGGGAGAGGCAGATGAGCAAGGGTTCCAGCTCCCAGCTTTACTGTGAACTTGGAGATCCAGCTCAAGCTGGATTCAACCTTTCCTGGTCCCCCCAAATTTCCCCAACATCATTGTTGGGGAATCCCCATCCCCAGATCTGGTCCAGACAATTCTGGTTGGGCCCTTAAACCTGCTCCAGGGAAATAAGAGGATGATTCTCAGAATCCTTGGGATATTTGCATCAAGCCAGGAGCTGTGCCATGAGGTCACTGGGATACCAACAACTGACCCAGCCCAGCTGTATCTAGGATGAGGCTCCAGGCAATAAAGAAAAAAACGACAGGCATGAAGGCCTTTATTTGCCCAATGCCGGCTGTTACAGGCACCGCCATGTTGACTTCCAGATGGGTCTGTATGCTGTGGGGAGAAAAGCTGGAAGGTCCCAAATATGTCACAAAGCAGTTTCTTGTGCCCTGGTTTTCTGGTAACCCTTTTAAGTTCACAATGGTAAAATCCTAAGCATCAAAGAGGAAACTGAGGCACAATGAAATGACCCACAGCTCTCCCCAGTGGGGCTCAGAGCCCAGGTGTCTTCAAACAGTTATATGACGGACGACAGCTTTTTGTCTCTGGGGGAGGGGGCCTGGGAGTCCATCTGGTGGCCTGTCTACTGTGGGGCAGGCCTAGGTCAAGGGCTAGGGGAGTCAGAGGAGCAAGGCTGGAGCAGCTGGGGGCATCCAGGCAGAAGGAGGAGGAAGAGGCAGCAGTGAATAGGGGCCCCCAGCTGAGGCTCAGTAATGATGCTGGAAGAAGCAGGTGGAGCCCTTGGTTTCTGAGATGAGGAAACTGAGGCAAAAAATCTCAGTCACAGAATTCTAGAGCTTGAAAGGGTCCTTAAACTGTCAAAAGACAATTTCACAGATGAGGAGACTGAAACCCAGGGTGATGAATGACTTGCCCAGGGTGACACAGTTTAGAACGTCGGAACAGCTCCTTAAGAGGCAGGACGACAGGGATTCAGAGCTCACAAAGTCGCCTGCAGAGTAGTGGGGGCAGAAGGACCACTACCTCCTTTCAAGGCACAGATTATGGATGGGGCAATCTGTGGTAGGTTTCTAGGCAAAGCTGCCCTCCCCTTCCCTGTTTTGGGGAAGGAGGTGGTAGTAGCTTCTTCCACTATCGCACAAGCTGTAAGCAGCACATTTTTAGTACCTGGCCTCATTTCCCTTCCCGGAGGGAAAGCTGCTAAGGCTAGAGAGGGAGTGGGGAGGATGCAGCAAAGGGAAGAGGCGGGAGAGCAGGACTGCCTGGTTCTTTTGCTCCTGGTCCTTCCCCATGAAGACAAAGTCATGAGCAGCTTGGTGTCCCACATGCTCTGGCTGTGGGGGAAGGGGGAGGGGGGAGGGGGAGGATTTCTGTCTCTTTTGTTCCCTGTTTTGGATGTTTTCTGCCCTGATGGTCCCTAGGAGCTGGAGGAACTGAAGGACAGAGGAGGACAGATGCTCTAACCACCATGCAGTGTGGAGATGAAGAGGATGCTGTCCTGGTCCTGTAGCTGGTAGTCCAATTCACCCTGAGAGAAGAAAAGAGAAAGAGAGGAGAGAGAAAAAAGGAAGGAGACAGAAAGAGAGAGAGAGAGAGAGAGAGAGAGAGAGAGAGAGAAAGGGAGGGGAGAGAGAAAGAGAAAGAGACGGGAGGAGAGAAAGAGTGGAGAGAGAGGAAGAGTGAGAAAAAGAGGGGAGAGGAGAGAGACAGAAAGGAAGGACAAGGAAAGAGAAAGAGACAGAGGAGAGAGGGAGGGGGGAGAGAGAAAAAAAGAAAGAGAGAAAGGGAGAGAGAAAGGGAGGGAAAAGGGGCGGGGAGAGAGAGAGAATGAATATATCAGCAACGTTTTGATACTCAGTCTGAGCATGCACAGGGCTATGAACCCTGAGAGGTAACATGGGTTTCCTTAGCTGGTTCTAACACATTCTCTCTCAGTTTGGGCTAAGCTTTGTGTAGTTATCACCTGTCTCAGTCTGGGTTCTTGTATATAGCCTCCTTCCACTCAAGGGCAAAGAAGAGGACAAAGGATGGGGGATGCTCATAGCTCTGACAGTGAGAAGCAAGAGGAAACTGGGGTAGGGCCTATTGAGAGAAAAGCTGCCCGCTCCTATACTGACCTGCAGCTCCCAGTCAGCATCATTGATCAGTACCAGAATCCCTGGTCGCCTGTGGGAAAAAGAATTATAGAATTTGAAAGCTAGAAGGGACTTTAAAGATCACTAAATGCAATGCTTTCATTCTATGTAGAAGGAAATTGAGACCTAAAGAAGTATACAACTTTTCAAATGAGATCTTATTTACACAGTACTTAGCACAGCGCCTGGCACAGCAGAAGGTGCTTGTCATTAGCTGTTCCCCGCCCCTCCCCCGACTCCCCCATCCCTTTCCTTGCTCAAGGTCAAGTAGCAGCAAGTCTGTGTTTAGAACACAGCTCTACTGATGCTCATTCCACTAGACCCTGCTGGTTGATGAGCACCAAAGACTAGGACACGGGCATGAAAGCTTCTGGAGAGGAGAAAAAATGTGAAAATCCTAGAGCTCTTGCAGAGGGACTAGCTGGAAGTGGGGTTCTCAGGGGCCTTTCTAACATCAGCTCAGGAGTCTACATCTTAAAAGACCTTCCAGGAGTCTACAGTCTTCCAGGGCAACAATCTGGATCCAACAGGAAATTCTTTGTGACACGTCTACTGACCAAGCTTGGTTCATCTTGTTATCTCCTTGCAGGAGGAGATGAGAACCACTGGTCCCGCCCCTCCTTATAATCATCCAGTGCAGAAGTGAAGATGTCAATGGCTGAGTCCCCAGAAGTTTGGGTCGGATAGGATTTCAATTGTTTGAAACCTGTCTGGAACCAGGGTGGAAGGTGTAAATCAGCTTCCAGGGACATCCAATGGGGATCACTCTCACTTTGCTAATCGCTGGAATCTATAGTCTAGGAAGCCCCCAATCCCTACAATTCCCTTAAAAGATAAGTTAGCCCCAGAATTAACTCCTGAAGCATCCCATTTCTGTGGCCAGGTGAGTTCAGTGAAACTCTGGGTTCTAATTCAGGTTTCTATCTCAGTCTGGCTCTTGGCTAAAGAGCGCTGGGGATACTCTTATCTGTTAGGAACCAAGGATGGCTTTGAGATTTCCAGGCCCACTCCCCAGGGTGACCTGTGCCACAGGGATGCCGTAGATAGGCATGCCGCATCCTTTGCCATGACCCCAGACAGAATGCAATGATTGTCCCTTTTTCCACCAGGTTGGCCTCATTTTAAAAATAAAGTGATTTCCCAGAGGATCAATTCTGGCTGTTTCTCAGAGAGGATGGCCCTGGCCCTGTGATGACTACAGAAGAGGCAGATGCTGAGGCAATGGACAGAGGTCGTATGGATCTGATGGCTTCAATCTCACTTCCCACTGAGAGCAGGAGCAAGGAAGGTCACAACCACAGGGCAGAGCACTGTGTTAGCTGATGGCTGAGGGAAAAAACCTGGCTTATGACATAAGAAGAGCAGCAACTCTAGATACCCAGTTCAGCAGAGGGGTGGCTATATTCACACTCAGGTCCAGCAATGTACTACTCATATACATAGAAAAATAATTCAGCTGGAACCCCTACCCCCTCCTTTTACAGACAGAGAAACTGAGGCCAGGAGAGAGAAACAGCCTATCCACACACAGCTGAACTCATCATTTGAGCTATACCCACCACTCCCCATTCTATCTGGGAATAAAAGTTGAAGATCTCCAATTGAGTCCACAGGAGAGACCCTTTGGGGGAACAAAGAAACACACAGCAAGTGTGGGTTTCTTTTGAAACCCTGAATGGGTTCTATCACCCAAGATTTCTATCCCTCCTTTTGGTCTCACTTCCTTTATCTATGGGGAGAAACAAGCTTCTCAGGGAAAGGGTGAAGATAAGAACCCTGGCTTACTCTCAACCAGGGAAGGTTGGTGGCACTGAAGCTCATATACTCAAATGTCTTGTTCCCTAAACCACGGAGGTGTCAATCAATTAACCAAACACCCTACAAGCATTTATTAGGTACCTACAAATGTATCAGGCACTGTGCTAGGTGCTGGGAGCACAAAGACAGAGAAGAGAACCATCTTCATCTGGGTGATACATCCCTTGTAGGGCACCCCTCCCCCTAACCCTAAACTGGTGAAGGGGAAAGGAATCCTTACACGCTATCTCCCTGGATGAATAACTCTGGCCGCTCCTTCAGTAAGTTCTTCTTTATCCAGATGAGAAGGTTTCGGATATCCCCTAAAAAAAAAAAAGTGGTGAGATCCACCAGTTATGTTCCCAGGTAGCCCTGCTCAGCTGTTCAGTAAAGTGACCAGAAATTCTTTGATCCAAAGGGGAGTACCAATACAGTTTTTGCAGAGACCTCAATCTACTGAGCCACAGAAGCTGCTACATAGTTATGCTAAAATGGGGAAGAAGGGAATACACATTTACTGAGTGCCTACTACGTGCCGGGCACTTAGCCTAAACTTCAAGAGCTTAAGCTTTATCTCATCTGATTCTCACAACAACCCTGTGAGGTGGGTGCTATTATGATCCCCCATTTTGCAGGTGAGGAAACTGAAAAAGACTGAGTTAGGACACTACAGAAAGGGCCAATTAATTATGAAAAGGGGACTTAGGGCTGAATAAGAGAGAATAAATTTAACCTGAAGCTAAAATAAAGAGAAAATGTCTTGACTGAAAGAGTGGGAAGACTCCAGAACAGGTCACCAAAACAAGCCCCAGAAAAGGGCTTGCTATAGGTTCTCATGGCTGGAAGGCAAGTCTCAGCCAATCGTTGGTATAACCAGGCTTTAAACGGGCCTGTCGGTATGGGTAATCTCTTGTTCTCAATACCCTTCCCACCCAGAATATCTCTCTTCCACCTTTATCTCTCCTTCTCAGCCCCAGACTGGGAGGATCCATCTTTGCTCCTGGCTGGCATACATTCCTCTTTGTGAGGGAAGAAAAACAATTGTAGGAGAGATAGTATCAGTTAATTTCCTCTGGAGGAGGGAGGCAGAGGGGAGAGAAGAATCCATCAGTAGGCCGGGAGACACTGACAAATAGCTCTCCGGTTCCCTCCCTCTGGCCTTGCACACCTCAAACTGCCATGCCCCAGATGGGTCACTCTTGGTGTGCAGAGAGGAAAAAGACTGGTAAGAAAGCTGGGGGGAGGTGAGTAGCACTGAGCAGAAATAAGTCTCTGTGACTTAAGAATCTCAGTCTCTGTGTTCCTTCTTCTCCATGGCTCTGAACACAGTGCAATGGAAAGAACACTGGGCCTGAAGCGAGAAGGCCTGGGTTCCCACCTCAGCTCCAATATTTATTAGATGGGTGATCTTGGGCAAATTCATTTCTTTATTTGTAAAATGAAGATAATAGTACTTACATAACTTACCTCACAGGGCTATTATGAGAAAAATGTCATGTAAGCCACAAACAACTATACAGATTGTCACTATCCTTCCCTCTTTAGACAGGCCATACTTAGGTATGCAGTAAAATATCCCCAAAGTCTTGCTACCTTGGATCTTCAAGTCTACACTGGGTTTTGTAACAAGGCCACTTAGTGGGAATGTCATTGATGGGTGTGCTGCCCCAGGTGCCATGACATGGACCTTGGAAACACATTATCTTTGTCCTTTAAATGTAGCGTACTTTTGTTGGCTAAGCTGTGGTGTGGGGGGTATTCCTCTTAACCTGGGGCTCAGTTTCCCTACCTATGATCATGAGCTCTGAAGCCTGGGAGTAAAAGTAATGCCTGGAAGAGGTTAAAAAGTTAAAAAATATTTGGACGATGCAGCTGGACACAGAAATCAAGCATATCTTTCCTGAAAGTAGTTTCCCTGAATGGCTGAGAGAGGGGATTGTTATATCCAAACACTCAGTTCTGAACTACCCAGCCCATTCCTCTGTGTGCAGACTTTGATGCGCCCTCTGAGCACCAGACCACTGGTAGGGTATTCGTGGCATGGGTTACCATTTTAAAACCAGAAACTCTTACAAACTTTGCATTAGAGCAACAGAGAAACAAGAGAAAGAGATAAAGGGTTGAAGGAGGAGGGGGAGAGATAGAGGAGAGAGAAGGAAGCGCACGCGCGTTGTGCATCGTGCCTAATGATCTGTGATGATTTTTGTCGCCTGGTGGGGCTCCTCCCTAGGGCCTTTCTGAGCTGGGAAAGGATGGGCTTGGGTTTCCCCTTGGCTCCGACTCCCCTTGGCCTCCATCTTGGCACTGTCTGGTGTGCAGTCGGCCCATAGATCTTCCTACTGCTCGATAAAACTGCCCAGGCCTGACAGATCCATCAGTGAGGCCTTGGTGAAGGGAGAGGATGTGCGTCTGTGTACAGAGAGGAATTACCACTACAGGGCAAGTGCCTGGAATGAAAAATGTGAAGACGAGGCTAATCTATGTAAACCTCTGCACCCTGGTGAATTGTAAAGCCTTGTGGGAATTCACACTTCCCCTCCCCTGAACTCCCACTCCCATATCCCTTCTGGTCCCCGGAGAGATGAGATTCGGCCATGTTCTGCCTCTCTATGTTCCCCATTTCCTCTAGAGACTGAGTTTTCCTTGGATCTGAGCTGCGTCCTCCCAACAGAGAAGGGGACATTGTCATTTGTCTGGGCTAGGACCATGGATAAGGATTCAGGGCTCTGTGGTCACCATGGGGTCATCCAAATGACAGCACCATTGGCTACCCTGCCTACAAAGTCTGGGAAACGTGGGGGATGGGAACTCTTCCTTTGACCCAGTCCTGGATCGTTCATCATGGTGCCCAAAGCCTAGCTCTCATTTGCTGAGGTCACTAACTTCGGCCTAGCCCACCCCTAACCCCGCCCACATTCTTGCCAGCCCGTTACCATGGTTTGGACCCTGCCTCCCCACCCTTATTGTTTGGGGATGGGTTTGATGGCTGATGGCTCCCTTCTCAAAACTACTAACAAGAAACACCTAAACCTTCTATTTCTGGATGGGAATCTCCCCCTTTTCTTATCTCTCCTCCCCCTCCTACCCCATCCCCAGGGATGGGAAAAGCACAGGGTGTCCAGAAAAGGAATACAATGGCTCATATCTCATCTGCTCCTTGCTTTGGGACAGGCAATATACAAACAGACTTCCTAGCCAGATGGTGGGTTTCCAAAGGCAGCCAGGGAGGCAGAAGGGTTAAGCAGTCAGGTGCTAGTAAACAGGGAACAGACTTGGGAACTCATCTCTGAGAGGTGAAAATCCTACACTCATTCTTCCAGTTTGCCATCATCCTCTACTCACATTCTCACAGTCATTGTACCACCTGAGTGCCAGTTCTAGAAATGACCTCCCTGCCTGTACCCTTCACCTGGCTCTTAACACATTCACCTTGTATTCCAGTCATCTGCGTCCATATCTCAGCTCTCCTATTAGACTGTAAGCCTGGGTGGAGTCCTGGTCATCTCTGTATCCCCCAAAGAGCCTAGCACAGTGCCTCCCTTGCATAGAGAAAACAGTAAATGTTTCATGTGTGAGTGAATGAATGACTGCCTAGCTCTTGGCTGAAGAGAAGCTGAGAATGGGGTGACTCACATGGGATAATGGAGCATGTGGCCAGTGGCCTAGAAGATAAGGGGCACCATTTGCAATTTTTTAGTGGTTCAATTAATCAGTGAGCATTTATTAAGCACCTAATGCAGGCACTACATTAGGCTCTGGGGATACGAAGACCAGGCAAACCTAGTACCTGCCCTCAAGCAGTGGTTGGGCATCTGTGAAGGTGGTTGGATTACTCTTAGAATAACACTTGATCTTGGCTTGCCTCATCATCAGAATCAAATGAGGTAAGTGCAGAGGCTGTCTAGGCACCTTCCTTTTTGGAGTGCTCCACATCATCTACTTCCCTCAGATCAGCCCAGGAATTGGAATCTCAGTCCCTGAACTATAGAGGCAAACCCCAGAAACTCCTGACCTCCATTCACTTTTCCTCTCCATTCTGGCCTGTTACTTACACACACCCATACCCACACACCCACACACACGCCAATAGGCCATGGTTAGCAAGGCAATGGTAGCACGGGAACTAGCAGCTGCCTCCTCTTTTAGTCCGGGGAATTGTCAAGTGCCTTCTACAGAAGGAAGCTAAGGCAGGGAAGTAAGGCAGTCACTGGGACCAAAAGCACCTCCCAAGCCTCCGAACTCCAAGCAAAGACAAGCCAAAAAAAAAAAATTTCTGGGTCTAGATTTAATCCTTTATACTAGAGATCTCAGTCCCTTCTGCAGTTCCATTCAGACTGGGCCATGAACACCCAGGACCTTGGGAACCCTTGGATAGTGTGTGTAAAGCACTTGGTCAACTTAAAAGCACCACACGAATGCTGGTTATTATCATTATCACTATTATTAGAGCCTTCCCAGCCTTTTCTCAAGAAGCAGTTGTAGGGGAGTCAAGTGGCCATTTGCTCACCATCACCATGTAGGGAACCTGATACTTTAGGAACACAGTCACCTCTCCTAGGAAACTTCAGGGAAGTTTACCCAGTAGATGTGGCTTCCCTTCTACTGCTAATGGCTAGGCCTGCTCTCATCTTTCCTTAGCTTAGACCCCAAGACAGCATGCCTTCCTATGGACCAACCTAGAGAACCACGGGGTCTGGTGGCAAAGGCCCCTTTCACTGCCTCAAGTCCACCAGCCATCAAGGAAAAGCTCTTCTCTCCAGCAGGTCCAGAGCCTTACTTGAAAGGGGAGAAGAAAGGCCCAAAGGGTGGGAGTGGATGAAGGGAATGGGGTGAGGGGAGGGGGAGCTCAGTGTAGGGCCCATTTACAAATGAATGGGGGTAAGAATGGAGCAGTTTGTAGGATAAAGGGACTGCAGAAGGAGGTTTACAGATGTGCAGAGAGGACCGCTCCTCATTGTTTAATTAAGCAGAAAGTGGCTCTTTTCAAAAGCAATTTTGCACAGGAGCTGGGGGGGCTCAGCAAACAGGCCCCAAGAGTGAGGGTGAGCAGGAGAAAGGAACAGCTGGTGCTGGGAGCCACTGTGAAGCGCATGCTAAGCAGTTTAAAGAGCTGGGGAGCTCCCTCCCTCCTGCTCTGGCCACCCTTTAAACTGCGGAGTCATGACAGGCACAAAAGGAGAAAAGAGGGAGAGGACGAAACAAGGTGGGGTGCGAGGGAGAGTCTGGGACAGGAGGGAAGGTTATCTTACTCCATGTCTGTGTAGGAATGTGTGGATGGCTGGGGAAAAATGGAAATTCTGGGCTTTGTCCTCAAGATTAGAAAAGCTAAACTGCAAGGTGAAACGACCAGGCTTCGGCCCCCCTCCTCCTGGCTCCTAAGGGCCCAGTGGGTGATCCATGCCATGCCTGTCTCCTCACTCAGAAAACCCTCCAAGTCACTTGCATGAGAAAGTGCCCATTACCTTCTCTAGCACAGCCACCCACTTTTGGTTACCATTCCCTCGTCTCCAGTCTGTCCTTCATGGGAAACAGCTCCTCGTCAATATGAAAATAGCATCAGATCCACATGAATACAGTACCAGCAATCCCCAGCCCTCAAGGTGGGAACCTTCTGTTCTGCAGCAGGGAAAACCTGAATTCATAGTTAGGACGTGAGGGCAGACAGGATCTAGAAATGATCTCTCAGGGACATGGCAGAAAGTCAACTGCCACCCTGCCAGAAGACCTGACTCTGCCACTGTCTGTCAGGACTCCTGGCCAAGGCTCTAACCTTCCCTGAAGCCTCAGGCTCTTTCTTCATCTGCAACATAAGGACATTAGAAAAAATGGTCCCCCCTTGAGTTCTAACCCTGTATAATTATGACCATTCATATTATAGATGAAGAAGGGAGAGAACCGAGTAAAGCTTAGGCTAGAATGCAGGTGCACTCGCTTCATTTCACATCAGTGTACCAGCAAACTCTACTATGCTTTCTTTTGTTTTGCTTTTATTTTCATTTTGTTTTTGTTAGGCAATGGGGTTAAATGACTTGCCCAGGGTCACACAGCTAGTAAGTGTCTGAGGTCACATTTGAACTCAGGTCTTCCTGACTCCAGGGTCGGTGCTCTAATCACTGCGCCACCTAGCTGCCCCTACCCTTTCTTTCATTCCTCCTGGTGGGTTCTCTTTGGAAATATACTTATTTGGGGGGCTTTTCCCTGACCCTACTCGCTCAGGTTATCATAAGGCTGTGTGACCCTCTACTTCTCCAACCTGAGTTATACTCTACTAGAGCCAAAAAGAGACCTTGAAGATTTCTAGTCCAGTCCCTTTCATTTTACAATTGAAAAAACTAAGAGCCAGAGAAGTAAGTGGTCCAAGGTCACACAGCTGGTTGGAGAGAGGGAAGTGTGGAGGATAGAGAGCTGGCCTTGGAGCCAGGAAGACAGGTCAAGTCCTGCCTCGGCCATATACTGGATGTATGACCTCAGTGCTCCAGGGCAAAGGTGTCAAACAGGAGGCTATAAGGCTCTGGAGTGTGGCCCAAATCCGATTAAATGCAACTGCGAATCATTTAACAAAACAAATAAAAATACAATAAAACACTGATAGAGGAAGTTTCTGATACCAATGAAATCCCAGGTCCAGGCCCTATCCTATTTATGCAGTTGATTAGTCATAGAAAAAGGATCAGATCTTGACTCCCAAATTCAATACTCACTCCAATCTTGTGGCTGCTGTTTTCTCTGCTGGGACTGCTGGGATCTGCTTAGCCAAGCAGCAGCAGCTGGGCTAGGCTGGCTGCCAGGAAACAGATCTGGGTACCGGCTCGGTGGCACGGTGAGACTGTCCCAGTGGTACAAGCCCTTTGCCTATCCACTAAGAACAGTGGTGTCAGCTCAATGCCTGGCATTTGCTGCCTGGTATAGGAACCAGAATACTACTTTTAACTTAGATTGGGTCCCAGTTCTTCTTCCATGACAAATTAATGCTACTTAGGCTATACATCCTGCCCAAATTTAAAGCATGCTGGGCAGCAAAAGGTACACCAATGGGAACAGCCTGGCAACTATATCTTGAATCCAAGCGAGTCTTCTACTTCCTACCTCTCCCAGCCTCCCCTTCACTGGGAAGAATAGAACAGAAAATTTAAAAGACCAGGGTATGGGGTGGGGGGGGGAGATTGATTATGAGGAGTGACACCTGGGTTCTCTACCCAGCTCTATCCTTGACTCATTATGTCATCGTAAACAAGTCATTTGCCCTCTTTCTGCCTAGCCAGGGAATCATGTTTCCAGGGAATTTTGTAGCAGTGAAACTATGACAACCCTTTGAATTCTTCAGAAAGGAAGTTAAATGCATGGAGTTCTAGATGATAGCTAGCGAGATTTTTAAGTCTCCTGATAAGACCTCAGAGGTTTTACTTCAAAGCCCATCATTCAGAAGACTGCCAGGACTGCTTGGATGGTAATCAAACATATGATCTGGTAACTTTCAACATCACCCTACGCTCCAATGGCATCACACTACACACCTCTGGCAGTTTTACCCAACCTCATAGTAACATTTTAGTTCTTTCCATTAACATCCTGTCCCCAGTTCAGTGGGGCAGATTTTTGCTCATCTGAGAATGTCAGAGTCTCTCACTGAGGCAGACAGAACCATCTCTGTCCTAGCCCCCCAGTGGGAGCCAGCAGACCCGGACAACAATCCATTTGATTTTGAATGGGTCTCAGCACAGTATCCTCCTCACCATGCCAGAAGGAAGCTGCCAAATCCAGGATCTAGGAATTCAGTCTCCACCCTACACTATGTACCTTTTTCCCCCTGGACAGATCATGGTTGTGGATAGAGAATGAAGCATTATTTAGAAGGGAACTGTCACTTAAAGAATCATTATGGGCTTGGAGAGTTAAAATGAGTTCAATCTCCTGCCTTTACCCTACAACAAGCCAGGACCAATGATTAATTTACCTGACTCTACCATCGTCCTCAATCACTCCATCCAATCTTTGAAACTCTAAACGTCAGTATATTATTTTCCCTTGGTCTAACCTAAATTTTTCCTCTCGTAATTTCAGTCCAATTAATTTTTGATGTCTTTGGTGACTATCAGGACTTCAGGTTACCATCTTCATAGAAACAACTAGTCTATCCAATGCCAGCTTTTTCTTTTTCAGACCAAATCTTCCCATTTCTTTTATCTTTTGTTCCCCATCCTTTTAACCATTCAAGTTGCCTTTGCCTGGATCTTCTCCAGTTTTCTACCTTCCACTTAAAAGGTAGCAATCCTAGACTAGATTTGGGATGTTGGAAACATGCCCACCCAAGGAACAAGGTAGATGATGGAAAGAAATAAAATGATGGCTTGACAGTTAAAGCAAACTTTTACCAATATCAGGGAAGGTAGTAATTAAGGGATCACAAACACTGTCAGATAATTATCATCAGATGATTTTCTATGCCCAGTTTTCTAGGAGGATGTTCAAGTCTCTTATTATTCCTCTGCTTATCTGGTTTTGGGAAGAAAACTTGGTAAGCCCATGAAGTCCTTGGTCATAGATAATGGTCTCTGGTTGGGTCTATCCAGACATAAGACACTGAACTCATATGTGAAGAAAAGGCCGAAGAATGCAAGAGTAGAAACATGAGCAGAGTGCCAAATGGTATCTTTGTGGACACTGAGAACCACTGTGCACACAGAGGATGCCTCACCACCAACAGCAGAACTGGTGAGGGGGAAAGGATAAGGGAGAAGAGAAGCCTCTGTTGATTACATGTGGTGAGCTTTTCTTCCTGTCAGCTTAAGCTTCACCCGTGAGGATAGCCAGGCACTTCTGCCTACTACTTCCTATAATGGCTGCTCAGCAATTCCTGGACACCCCACTGCTTCCAGAGTTGGCCAAACCTGTGCTCCCCTAGTGTAACAAGGGTGAGAAGAAAAGATTGATACTCACAGGGCTCCTCTTGACCGGGCAAGGTGACCTGGTGCTTCTTTACACCATCAAATAAGAGTTCTGCCCCACCTCTGCAAGGGAGATGATAAAGAGAGAACCAAGTAAATTATAGGGAGCAAGAAGGGGCTGTGTCCTAAAACAACACTGAACAGGTGGAAGTGAAAGCGGGTTGATATACAAGAATTCAGCTAAACCAGCTAAGAACCCAGCCATATAATACATCTGGCATATGAATATTTCTTTACGTACTAAAATGCTGCTTTAAAATTACCTATCCTTTTTTCCAACCTGATCCTTTACTTCTCCATCTTACATGATCTCAATTCCTGCACTCTGTCTACATGAGGCTCATCATCATTGCCCGACATTTTCATTACAGTACATTCTATATGGGAAACTAAGTTTGAGGAACTAAGGGATTTTGCTTTACTTCATATCCGTATCCACACTGTGTGACATTGTACTTTGCACACATTAGGCTTGAATAAGTCTTTGTTGAACTGATACAAATGGTGAAAATGGGACATCAGCCCTCAATCAAGAGCACAGGGAAAGATGGACGCTCCCAATCCAGTGGTCCATCTATGAGCCAGAATTCTGACAAACATCAAGTTTGATAACCTCCGCCTTGCTCCTCACTCTGTAAACTGGGAAGAGGCAATGCAAGGAAAGGAATGTTTTCCAGCATTTCCCTTTCAAACTAAACTTTAGTATGGTTCCGCTGGAAAGTACACTGGACTAGAAATCTGTTTCTAGGCCCCATTCTGGTGATACCCAGCTGTGTGACCTTGGACAAATCACTTTGCCTTGTCTCAAATGTAAAAATAGGGGGTCGGCCTAAAGAATGTCTCAGGTCTTTTCCAATTCTAACATTCTGTGAATCTGTCCAATGTAGCATCATGGGATCTCTTCTTGACTATCCAAGAATCAGTAAGCCACAGCCTTAGAGCAGGAGGGCCTGGATTAATGGATATCTACAATTCAACATCCACCCAGTGTTCTCCACCCTTCTTTTCAGTCAACCCTACATTTTTGGAAAACAGATTCCAAAACGTTAGGAGGAAGGATAGGTAGGATCTCACAGACTAAAATTCTACATGGGAAGTCGCTCTAAGAGTGATGGAAAACTCTCAAGAGTGAAATTTGGAAGACACAAAAGGAAACAATTTTTCAAAAAAAAGTTTTTATTTTCTTCTCAATTGCATGTAAAAACAATTGCTAACATTTGCTTTTTAGAAGTCTGAGTTCCAAATCCCCTCCCTACCCTCGCCCCTCCTTGAGAAGGCAAGCACTATGATACAGATTATATATGTGCGATCCTGCAAAACATTTCCACATTAGGAAACAATTTCAATAAGGAGAAAAAAGGTGAGTCTGAAGAGAATGATATCTCAAGGTAACTCATCAACCAACTTAAGTTTTACCAAGTCACATACAGAAGACAGAAGCGATAGTAGACAATGAAGATGGAATATAAGAGCGTGGAAAGGTCCTGTAAATATGGCGCAAAGCTACAGACAACAAAAAGAGTGCATGTCTCTTAGTTATATGAGAGGAAAGACGAGGATTAAGAAAGAGATAGAACTCTTAGGGTGGACAAGACTACGATATCTGGAAAACGAGAGAAGACAGAACTTTTAACTTCGTATATGGATTCTGTGTTCTCTGCATCTTTGCACTGGAAATGAGAGAACAAAAGTGACTAACAGAGACTGATACCTAAGGTAAGGAGAGTAAGAACACCTAGTCACTCTTAAGGAATTCAAGTCATCTGGCCCAGAAGGGCTATATATAGTCTCAAGTACTGCAAAAACTGCTTGCTAATCATCATTGGCAATAGTTGAAAGATGGTAGAGAAAGGAAGAACTACTGCAAAAGTGAAGAAAGGAAAATCACGTTCTGACTTTCAAGAAATAGAAGGTAAAGGTGTCTGCAAACTACAAGCCAGTGATCTTGACCTCAATTCTCAGGAAAATTCTAGAAGGAATCATTTAAGAGATGTTTAATCAACAGTGAGGAAAAGAAAGTAATAATTATAAAGAGCCCAAACAGTATCACAAAGAACGAGTCATGCCAGACTAATCTTACTTCCTTTTTGAATAGGGTTACTAGCTTAGTTAGTTAGATCAGAGAATGCTGTATAGTTTACATAGATTTTAGGAAAGGGTTTGACAAAGATCTCATACGATTCTTATGGAAAGATAGAGAGATATAAACTGCATGATACAGACAGATCCAGACTAGGCATAAATGAGGCACTGTTAACTCAGCAGGAGGTCTCGAGGGCAGTGCCCCAGGGATCTATGCTTGACTCTTCTTTTTAACAGTTTTATCCATGACTTGGATAAAAGCATAGATGGAATGTTAATCAGATTTTCAGATGACACAAAACAGGAAGGGAAAGCTAACACACTGGATGAGAATCAGGATCCAAAAAGAACTTTATAGGATAAAGCAATGGAATCTCATAAGATGAAATTCAATAGGGATTTTTGTTCAATTGTTTTCAATTGTGTCTGACTCTTTGTGACCCCATTTAGGGCTTTCTTGACAAAGATACTGGAGTGGTTTGCCATTTCCTTCTCCAGCTCATTTTACAGGTGAGGAAAACTGAGGCAAATGGGGTTAAGTGACTTGCCCAGGGTCACACAGCTAATAAGTGTCTGAGGCCAGATTTGAACTCAGGAAGAGGAGTCTTTCTAACTCCAGGCCGACCCTGACACCTCGATGCTCACAATGGGTATAAAGGTAGTCTTACTGCTGGTCCTGAAGAGGTCCAATGACATTATAGGGTGATGTCTTGACTTGCCCAAGAACTGCATTTAAGAGATACAAACTTACACTTGACATTTATATGGATTAGGAAAAAAGCAACTTCACAAGTGGGGAGGGGGGGAGGAAGAGGACAGACAACAGTTTATCTGAAAAAGATCTGAGAGCTTTAGTAGATTTTTAAGTTCAATATGAACTTACCAGGTGTAGAAACAACAACAAAAAAAAGTAAGGCCATCTTAGATTGCACTAGGAGTGAAATCTCATTTAGGATTAGGAAGGTAACAGTCTCTCTGTACTCTGCCCAGGTCAGACCACATTTGAGCACAGTGTTCACTCAGTTTCTGGCACCACAGTTAAGGAAGGACATTGAGAAACTGGAAAATGTTGAGAGGAAGGCAAGCAGAACAATGAAGCATCTTGACTCTGTCATTTGATGGGGATGTCTAACAGGGTAAAGAGAAGCCTCAGGGGGGACATGATGGCTCTGTTCAAACATCTAAAGACCTGTCACTGTCTAAGAAGGATTAGACTTATTCTGGTTGGTTGCAAAGGGCAGAACCAGCAGCAATGCTCAGAAGTTGCAAACAAGCAAATTGAAGCTTGATGTCCTAACAACTGAAGCTGTCCAAAAGTGTAATGGGCTGCCTGGCAAGGAGTGGGCTCCCCTTCACTGGAGGCCCTTAAGCACAAGAGGAATGACTACTTGTCAGGTATGTTGCAGCGAGACTAGATGACCACTGAAATCCTTTCCAACCCCAAAATTCTGATTCTGCAACAAGTGACATTGTTAAAAAGGCACAAAACCAGGTGACTAAAGTTTGATTTCTTCCTTTCCCTGCTAATTCTTTGGTGGACTGCCAGTGGGTATCCAAAAGACTGGCAATGAGAGACAAGGCTTCCAGAGACCAAGGTCCTGCATAGGTAGTCCTTGAAAGCTGAGTTAGAAAAAAATCAAAATATAAAATGTGCTTCAATTTTCACTGAATCACTACATTTTAATTTTTTTCCATTTATTTCCCTATAGACTTTCTTTCAACTTTCCTTACACCAATGATACTCCCAACCCCCTGCCCCCCACCCCCATAACTGACCAGCACAACTTCTCAGATAAAAAGAAAAGAGAGGCTGAAAAACTATTTTCTTTTAGGTTCATGGCTTGAATTTTCTAAACCTCAAGGCTCTTGATAATTCACGTAACTGCTTTAACAGGGGGTGTCAGGGGATACCATATTCTGGCTCACCAAGCATATAGGGTGACCTGTTTAAAGATGGCCCCATTAAAAGGACTATGTATTTCTATGGAAGCAGTGCACTGGAGTTCCCTGTGACAACTTCTCCCAACCAGGGCAAGACTAAAAGGCCCCAATTCTTAGCAGCCACCACATGGCAAGAACATTTCCATGAGAAAATGGATGTCTGGGCACATGTGACTTCAGGTAAACATGTCAGCTCCCCCTGGCTAGGTCTGCTGATCCACACTTAAGTTTGAAACATATGCTTCAGCAAAGGCTGGCCAAGAGTGCCAACCCCAGCATCCCTAGGGAAAAAGAGTCAGTATCTGGACTGTATCTGACACCTAAGCTTATCAAACGTAGGTATGATCTCTTATATTTATATATAATAATACTTCATAATTTATAAAGCCCTTTCATAAACACATATGGGCATGTATGTGTTTACATGTATATGTGAATGATTTCCTTTCATCCTACTTGTGAAATAGAGTTAGAACAGGTATTAAAACCCTCATTTTACATGAGAGGAATATGAGGCCAAAAGAGGAGAAATGAGATGTTCAAGGTCACAAAACTAATGAGTTCTTAGTGGTCAGGGCTGGAAAACAGCTTTCTTGACTGCTAGTCTAGGACTCTCTCCACTACACTATGCTATTGCTCTACAACTCTCAACTAGCCTGCCTGAAATTCTATTTCAAGGACTTCTAAATGGAAGAAGTAGCCTTTTAAAATCTAAAAACACTGCCCTCCCAATTGGGGATAGGAAGACACTGCTGAGATTTAAGCAGGGATGGGGAGCTCATGCAGCTGACAAAGTCACACACAACCACCCTTGAGGGACTGGGATGGACAGAAACCACTGGGAGGCCAAGGCAGGCATTGTGATGGGGGGAAACATGGGGTGTCTGTAATCACAACAAGGTCACACTTTGTTGCTGCAGAAGTGTGAAGGAGGAGATAAGGCCCATCTGTGACCCACTTGCTGGGACCATTTCAGCTGTGGGCCATGCACAGAGCTTCCATTTATATGCCTCCAAGAGCTCAGCTCTCTTCTCTTCTGGGGTGGGGGTCGGGACATGCAGCAGCTGGGGAGAGTGGGGGTTGGGGGAAACAAGGAAGACTTGCAGGGGTTCCATAGTTGGGGGGAGGTCAGGGAAATGTAGAAAGGAAAAGAACTGGGGTTGATAGGTCCCAAGCAAACAACAGGCAGTGACCAAACCTGGCAGTGCCAGTCACAGGCATTGGGTTTCTGGTGGGGTTTGTTTGTCTTTTAAAATGAATGACTCGAGAATGAATCTGGATCAATGGGTAACTTGCCAGCAGCTGTGTTTACTGGTCCGCAAATAAGGGATGGAGGGGCTCTGGCTTTTCCAACAATATAGCTCTTCAGGTGATGAAAAGTATATTCTCATCCCCACCCCCTGGGCCAACTGGAGGAGGGTAAGGTGAAGGGCTTTTTGTGAGTGGAAGGAGGTAAACGGAAGCCTGAGTCTGAACACATCTTTGGCTTAAATCTCATAGAGGGGATTGGTCTGTTTAGCAGAATTTCCTCCCAAGTGATCCGATCTTATGTTTTCCACCCACAATTCTCAGTGAGATATAATAGGATGTTTGTCCTAATGGTAGATGTAGGGCTTCAGAGAACCAGCTTTCCTTCTCCAGATCAAACTGGGAGGCAAGTTTCCAGAATGACCTTCTCTCCCCTTACCAAGACTTCTGTTTGATAAAACTTCCCTGTTTTAAAAAGGAGGAATCATGAAGGGAAGAGGGATTGGGTGAGAAAACTAAGACTAATTTCTGCAGCTCTAACTGCCCTCGGGATCCCACTTCTCACTCTAAGCCAAGTTTTCAACAATGTCCAGACTGTTGTGATACAAAACAATCTAGTCTACTCTAGAGATGTCATATACTATGTTACCTGACATATTTTACTGAACACATCATAAGATATCTAGCACAATGATGGCAGTGTATTTCTCAATAGAAGGTGGAAATAAATAAAAAATTGTGCAGTGTTATGTTTGTTTTTGTTTATGGAAACATCCACATTTGTTGATGCATGTCAAATTAATGATAAAGTAAATAACTTTTTTAAAAAAGCTTGTGAAACAAAAAGGTGTGGGAAGACAGCTCTATCTAGCTCTCACACCACAAGGGCTAGAATGACTAAAAGTGTTACATTCCCAAAAGTCAGTGGAAAAAGGCAAGTCCACTTATTTGGTTTAAACCAGATCAGAGAGGTAGAGTGAATGGGCGAGTTCAGTGATACTTCTTGTAATATTTGCTCAGGTACAGGAAAATCAGAAAGGTGATCCTTAAACTAAAATGAGGTATCATCATGTAGCAGAGAGAGACCTTATGAGAAGCAACTTGATCACAGACACAAAACACAAAGGAAAAGAGCAGAAGTTCAATATGAGTCAACAGTAGTGGCCCAGAAAGCTAATGCAATAAGAGAAACATGGTGTTCAGACTAGGGAGATGATTGTCCCACTGTACCCTGCCGTGGTTGGCCCACATTCAGAGTACTGTGTTCAAATCTGATACTACATTTTAAGAAGGACATTTATGTGTTTAAATAAGGCAATCAGGATAACGAAGGGGTTTGTCATATAGACATTGGCTGAAGAAATTGAGGTTCTTTAACCTGAAGAATAATAACTTTAGGGGTCTTCAAGTAATTGAAAGGCTATTAGATGGTAGAGGGATTAGACTTACTCTTCTTGGCCCCAGAAGAGAGAACTAAGAATAATGAGTAGAAGATGCAACTTTAGGCTTGAGATAACACAAACCTTGGGATCACTTTAGAAGATATGTTATAAAGAAGATTCTCGTTCACGTACAGTTTGGATTGGCAAAGATTATCAAGAGATTGAGGACAAAGATAGTATATCGTATTTAGTTTCCATATTTCAGATTCCAAAATTAGGTAGAAAAACTATAGTTTTCTTAGAAGTCTATGTCTTTGGCACTATGAGAAACTGAAGCACAATTTTTAACAACAGAGTCCAAATACTAGAAGTGGCCTAATTCAGTCAGAATTGATAGAGAAACTTTTTCTGGGATGCAGAAAAGCCTAATGGGCCTTATCAAGTATTATTCTAAACTAATGATGGGTAAGATTTGGGGAATCCACAGGCCTTAAGAAAGTTAAATGGCCCAAAATGGCAGTGGCCCCCCCCCAAGGGATTTGTCAATGACTAGTTGACAAGGCCAATGACTCACAAAAGGATGGAGGCATATATGACTTTGTCCAACAGAATTATAGAGCAAGATGCAATAAAAACATCTCCAACTAAAATTCCCTTAAATTTCTAAATGGCACTCATAGTACTATCATCCAGACCCACCTAGAGGCCAAGTTCTGTGCGTACACAACCAAGGGGGAAGTGCCTGTTTGGTTAGACTGGGACAAGTCCCAGATCTTCCCTTCTGTTTATCATCAAACTCTGGGTTCTGTCCCTTCCCCTTTTAGAGAGAAAAAGAAAATCAGACTTAAAACGATCCTTGGCTCTGATACTAATGAACTCTGAGTCTCTAGCCAAATCATTGTCCCTCCCCTGGCCTCAATTTCTCCACGTGTAAAATAATGAGTTCTGTTCTAAGGATCTCTGATATTAAAAATCAATCAACCAACACGCATCTATTTATTAAGTGCTTACTAGTCAGTCAATATGCATTTATTAAACTCCGATTATGCGCCTGGCACTGTGCTAAGTCTAGGGGTACAAAGATTAGTCAAAAAGAAACAATCCCTGCCCTCAATGAACTTATAGCCCTTTTAGGCTGAGAGAGAACCCAACTTGCATCCCAATGGGGGAATCAATCCTCCCTGCAGGATGAAGCCAGATTTCCAGCGATGCCTACACATCCATTCAGCGGTCGGACTGGGTGATGTAAGTGGGGTGACTTCTGGATTCTGGGGGCTCAGAGACCGTGCTCCAGGTTTCCAGGCCCGGGGAAGGAGGACAGGAGCGGCCATTATTAAAGGGACCGAAAGTCTAAACAGTGGCTCAGAGATAAGAGGAGGTAGGCACGTACGCATCGGCGTACGCGCCGGTTTACTGGGGAAAATACGGTCACGTCGTTCTCATAGCAACCCTGCCCTACCCGGGCAGCGCAGCAGAGCAGGTCAGAAAGAGGCGATGCGACAAAAGTCCGTTCTGTTGCGAGACTCTGAGGGAGGGAGAAGGAGCTGCTAGCCCGACACACTTCCCTTCTACATAGGGCCACCGGATCCTCCCCTCCCCTGGGTTCGAGACCCCGACTCACCCGAACTCCACCTGCACTGACACGGGGGCAGCCATCTTGGGGAAGACGCAGATAGCGGAAGTACACGCCCACCTGACGTCTCCTCCTTCCGCCTTACCCGGACGGGGAACTAGGCATCGTCCCAGGGAAGCTTCCTTCTTCTCAGCTATTGGTCAGGGGCCTCCACGGAGCCCCGCCTACTAGGCAGGGATGGAGTGGGGAGAGCTCCGAGGACGGAGGATTTCGGAATCCTGGAAAACACGAGCCGGAAGTGAGCGTAAAACTTGTTCAGCCCTTTTTTTACAGATGGGGAAAACTGAGGTCCAGAGAGGGAACTGAACTAACGAAGGTTGCAAAACTGCTGAGTGGCAAAGATCACAGGCTTTAGGGCCGAAAGTTACTTCTAAGTTAGAGAATGCAGACCTCCACACTCCAAGGCAGAAGCGTCATCTTTCTCATGTTAAAGCCATCAGATCCTTGGAAATACATCACACTCCCCATGAGCTGAGCCTGTGCTCTGCCCCGGACTCTTTTGATTTAGAACACCTTGATTATCCCCATACTTGTTCTGTTTCTTTTGAATATCTTTTATCCCCTTTCCCTTAGTGTTAGTTTCTCCTGTCCTTTTCTTTCCAGGGCTCTGCTTCTTCCTAGCCCGGTCTTCCTCCAATATTCCCCAGTCAGGATTGCCGCTTAGCATTCTCAGCCCTTCAAGCCAAATTGTTTCCCCCCAACCCCCCCATCCCAAACCTCAAGAGGACAAAACGTTTTCCCCGTAGCCCAACCCAACGCCCTCCTATCTCTCTAGTGATCAGCCAGAAAATACAGTGTGCAGAGCACGCTGAGAGGAAGACAAATCAGAGATTCCAAAAACTAGAACCTGCCAACTTCTCATTTTCTTGGATGGCACAACAGTCCTTCCAGGCTTAAAATCTTGTGGTCCTTCCTCTGTTTCCTTACCTTCAAAATGATTGCAAAGGCTCCTTGCCACTCTTAGCATTCTATAGATCAAATGAGATATTCATGAAGCGCTTAGCACAATGCCTGGTGCATATTAGGTGCTTAATGTTTGTTCCCTCCCACTTCCCTATATTCTAAGGTTCCTTCTAACTAATAATTATTCTATGTTCATTGTTCTAAGGTCTCTTTCAATTGTGTTCTGTGATCCTATGATCGTACTCTTTTTTTCTAATCTATCTCCCTCAGTGTCTAGTATAGTGTTCTGTATTCATTGATAGATGCTTAATAAACATCTTGATTAAATTGGATCTAATCAATAAGCAGGTCCTGTCAATTTTCCTTCATAATCTCTCTCACAAGCACTACCCTAGTCCTATTTCTCATCACCTCTTCCTGACAATATTTCATTAACTTTCTTACTGGTTTCTTTGCTTCCTTTACTCCCTTCATTCCACCTTTCACAGGTGGTCAGATATATTGTTAAACCTGGCTTTTATCATGTGTCTTCCTTGCTCAGCAATTCCCTAGGGCAAACAGGATAAAGTCAAAATTCCTCAGTTTGGCATTCAAAGCCCTGCTGCATCTAACCCCCAACGTATAGCTTTCACCTTATTTCAGTCTTATCATGTCCCCTCCTTGGGACTTGGAGCATCCTTTTCTCTGCAAAACGTTCTTGGGTTGGATCCGTGTATGTGTGATTTTAAAGATTACAATTCTTTATTTTTTTTTTTGCAGGGGGGAGTGTAAAGTGGGGGTGGTGCAGAGGGGGAAGGACCCCAGAGATTCCCGCAGGAACCGCCTTCAGTTCTTTCTGAAGCATCGAGGAAGACAATAGGAGGGTCGGGAGGGGGCTAGAGGGCTCTGGTGGGGACCACAGTCCGCTGGCCTTTGTCTGAATCCCCCTGGGCTCAGTCCTGAACCCTCGGTGGCTCAGAGAAAAGGCGATGGCGGTGGGGGAAAGCGGGGCGGGGAGGGTCAGGGGGAGCTGGAGTCTTTTGCAGGCTTCCTATCCCATTCTTGTGCTAATTGGATGTCAAGCTGAGATCAGTGAGAGGGAAATCAGTCCCAGCGCTCGGGTTAAACTGCAGCCAAAGAACGCTCGGATGGAGAGCGGAATATCATTAGTACCCGGAGGAGCTTGGCTGGGATGGGAGGGGGAGGAGGGGGCGGGGAGCAGAGGGGGATGAACGTGGGGCCCCATTGAAAGCAGCTCCCTCCCCTCCGGCTGCCTTCAATAGACCCCTCCGAGGTATTTAACCTTCCCAAGAGTTGAAAGCGATACAGCAAGCGGTGGCTCTGAAGGCCACTTGCCTGGCAGCCTGGGACATCCCGGGGCAGGACCGCAAAGAGCCACTTTTTTTTTTTAAAGGAGCTCCGCCAAAAAAAAAAAAAAAAGAGGAGCTCCGCAGTCTGAGCCCCAAGAAAAATCGATCTCGGGAGCACTGGCCCTACATGCCTTTTGTAGAGAGAGGGATGGCGGAGGGATCTCAGACCTACCTAGTTCCTGATCCCTTTGATCATGATTTCTTAAGAAAAGTTACTAAGGTGACTTGCGTTTGCTCTGTCCCCTCCATCCCTAGATGTATCACCTCTACCCTTAACTCTAAAATTAATCTCTGATCAAGGGCCTAGAAGGGTCAATATATCAGACAATCTAAAAAAGTAGTTTTAAAGTAGCCTGAAGCTACTTTAGAGTTCATCTAGTCTCATTTTACAGATAGGGAAACTGAGGTTCAAAGAGAAGGGACCTGCCCAGGGTCACTCAACCAGTTGGTGGCAGAGCTGGGACAAAGGCCAAGGCCTCCTGTTAGTCCTGCTTCCATTACACCACACTGCCTTTCGTGAGTATGCCCTTTTTGCCACCCCATCAAATTGACACAGTCTCTTTACAGAAGAGAGGAGCCTGATAAGATAGGTGTGTGCATGGGTACTTTAGTTAGAGACAGGGCTGGTGTATCCCCAAGAAAATAAGACCTATTTTCTTCTTCTTTACCCACCACAAGGGGAAGAAGTGAGCAACGTGCGTTTTCCATTTTAGAATGGGGAAAATCAAGCCCTTCCCAGCAATGACTATAGTTCTTTAAGAAATAGACCTGGTTGCAGGGCTTCCTTCATCTGGAGGAGGCCAATGAGCTCTCTCATTCCACTTTTTAAGAGGTTAACCCAGCCAGTTTCATAGAACCCTGAAGGTGGGAGGGTCTAGAAACCACATTACACCAGAATAGAGGTGACTTCATATTTAAAAACAGAAGCCTGGCTCTCTTTCCCCATCCTCCAGTCCCTTCCACTACTAGTATATCTCCCCTGGTCCATTCTGCACCAATAGAATAAGCAAACCTATCCCCAGAACAGGGGCTGCTAGGGGGCACAGTGGATACAGCACTCAGCCTGGGGTCAGGAAGTTGTTATTTATTCCATTTTCACTTGTGTCTGACTCTTCATGTCCCCATTTGGGGTTTTCTTGGCAGAGACTGGAGTGGTTTGCCTTTTCCTTCTCCAGCTTATTTAACAGGTGAAGAAACTGAGGCCAACAGTGTTAAGTGACTTGCCCAGCATCACACAGCTAGGAAGATAAGTCTTCCTGACTGAAAGCCCAGCACTCGATCCACTGTGACACCTAGTTGCCCCCAGAGTCAGGAAGAACCAAGTTCAAATCCGGCCTCAGACACCAGCTGTGTGACCATGGGCAAGTCACTTAACCCTGTTGGCCTCAGTTTCCTCATCTGTCAAATGAGCTGGAGAAGAAAATGACAAACTATTCCAGTATCTTTGCCATGAAAATGGGTCATGAAGATTCAGACACGTTGAAAAGACAACAATAAAATCCCTGGGACAGTAGGGTCAGGCTAGAAGGGATTAATCGGGGCCAGCTTGCCCTCTACTGGCCACATGGCTTAAGTACAATCAATCCAGACACCTGACAACCCCAAACTAGAACCCCCGGCCCTTTAGTCCACTCTCTCATTTTACAAACGGGGAAACTGAATCCCAGACTGAAGTATAGTGCCAGGTCAAATGCAGTGCTGAGATTGGAATCCTTGTCACCTGATTTCCAATTTAGGGCTCTTTCCACTACATCAGTCAAGAGAGGCCAAGATCTATAAGGCCCAGGCCACAGGGCCTCCAGTACCCAGCATGAGGTTGGCATGCAGGGAAGTGGCCCGATTCCAATCTAACTAGAGGGGGTTGGAACAGAGAGACGCCCACACTACCCAGCAGGATGTGCCAAATACTCAGTGAGGGGCACTAACAGTACTATCAGCGTTCCCAGGAGAGAGAGAATGTACTGTGATCTGTGCTGGGAGAGGATCAAAAAAGGCTTCCTGGAGATAGTGAAGGAGGGAGTGGAGCCAAGTCTTAAAGAATGAAGACGTACCCTGGGCAAGTCACTTAATCCCATTGCCTAGCCAAAAAAATACAAACAACCCCCCCCCAAACCCCAAATCACAAAAGAATGAAGAGCTAGCGAGGTCTGTAGCATGACACGAGCAAAGGTGTGAGCAAGGGAAGCCCAAGGCTCATTCAGGAGATGGTCACTCTCTCAAACATTCACATAAATTAAGTGGGAAGAGGAAGTCAAATCTGAATTTAATTGCCATAGACCCCATCCCCATGCTGTCCCACAGAAAGAGGTATGAGCCAGGCCAAGGGGTGTGAGGAAGAAATGGAGACAGAGACACAAACTAATCCTGAGGTGAGGGAGAGGCTGCAGGGGCAGGAGATGGGAAGGGCAGCTCCTGCAACGGAGCCAGCCTCTCCCTCTCTCTGCAGTGATCCTGAGAAGCTTTGGAATTATCTACAAGGCCAAAGAAGACCTCACTGAAAAAGTCTTGGCCAAGGAAAGGTAGACAACTGGTGGGTGTGTGGAGGAAGGGGATGTCTCTTCGGCACCACCTAGCTTAGGGCCTGGGCAGGGCTCTGGTGGCTCTTGGAGCTAGAGGAGTTCCTGCAACTCTTCACTGTGGAGAGTGACCCCTTATAGCTACCACCCTCCTTTGTCTATACCACTGAAGTCATGTAGTAGCTTAGATAGCAGCCATAGCCCAAAGAGAAATAGAACCTTCATCCTAAATCCTCTTGGCCAAAAAAAAAAAAAAAGGTGAGTAGTTCCTCTGTCCTCTGGTTGGCTTCCTGAATCCAGGGTCCTTACCTCTTGGCAAGGTACAGGGAGGGTGGGACAGCAAGAATCTCAATTAGTGAACTCCCCTCTCAACCTTCTCCCATCCTGTGCATCCCTCCCCCCCCCACCTCAAGACATCACCCTGAGTATGCTCAGTCAGTCTCTGCTCTCTGGGGTATGGAGACAAAATGAAGGATTGAACTCATCCTACCCTAAGCCCTCCAGCTCCCCAAACACAAGGCTTTCATGGAAAACCTCTAATGTGGGGGGTAGAGGAAGATGGCAGTAAAGTCACTTGGCAATTTCAGAGCAGAGGTGTCCACTGGCTTCCCTCCCTCTGCCCCAGTCAGTACTCTGGAGGAGGGGGAATGGCCCTTACCACTGCCTACTTTGGTCTGACACCATTCCCTGTTGCCCAAGAACCCTCCAGGGGCTCAGCCTCTGACTCAGTCCAGCCCCTGGAGTGGGAGCAGGGATGGAGACAATCACAGCTTCTCTTCCCCAGCCTGGATACGGACATAAGCCTTGGAGTCCAGGGGAAGATAGCGACAGAGCCGGGTATCCAGGTAGAAAAGGGGTCCTTCACCAAAGCTGGGTTGAAACCCTCTTTCCGTAATTCTGTCTTCTGGAATTTGTAGGTCCCTGGAGAGGGTAAGGAAGGGAGGTTAGATAAGAGGACCTGGTTGCTGGGGACAGGAGAGGCCAGAACAGCCTCAGTATTAAAAAAACTGAAGGAATAAGATTAGAGAAAATATTTGCCAAGGAAGAAGAGGAAAGAGGTAAGGATCACAGGATCACAGATTTGAAACTAAAAGGGACCTCAGAGGCTTATCTTACAGATAAGGAAACTGAGGCCTTAATTTAAATGACCTGCCCAAGGCCATATGGGTGATAAGCAGCAGAGCTGGGATTTGATCTCAGCTCCTCTAACATTATAATTGAATGATTCAGTATTTGAATGCTGTGAGATCTAGAAGAAAGAGGAGATGGTAAAGGAGGCAGTTGGGGTCGGTGAGGTCTGATGTGGAAAAGACCCAGAAAAGGAGGGACTCATAAATGACTTATGGAGAAGTCCAGGTTAGAATCCCCAGAAGGAAGAAGGAAGAGGGGGGCCCTCAGATATACCTGTTTTATGGAGCTCAGGCAGGAAGCGCAGGAAGATGGGGCGGGCATAGAGTGGGAGTTCCTTCTCCAGTGCTTTGGCAAATTCTGTCAGGTCACAGCCACCCTTGGGGTCCGCTATGCAGCCATGCCCGCCCGGCCCTCAATACCTGCAGTGTAGAGATGTGTCAGAGGGATGCAGGGCACTTGGGAGGCTTGCCCACAGAGCCCATGTCATTCACCTAAATGTCCAACTGACAAACATCCTATAAATGACCAATTCACATGTGATATATGCAAAACTCTTTGCTAGTCTTAAGGGGCTATATAAATGTTAACTGTTAACAAGGATGCTACTGAATGAGTTGCTTGTTGCAGAGGCCTGACACCTAGTGGCCACTCTGGGTGATACAGGTGGCTGAGCAGGCCCCTCAATTTAACAAATACAATCACAGAAACTTAAGAGCTGGAAGTCACTTCAGGGACCATCTGGGTCAACTAGCATCATGTGAACTGGCACATGCTATTATCATTATTTTTAATCAAATATTTTGAGTCTCATTCTTTAAAAGTTCATATTTTAAATAAATTATAATTCATCTGAGTCAAGTTCAAATCTAGCCTCAGGCACTTATTTAGCTGAGTGACCTGGGACAAGTCATCTAACCTCTCAGACTCAGCTTAGCCATTTATCAAATGGGGACAATATGAGTAGCTACTGAGGTAGGGAAGGTCATTATGAGCTCAGATGAGATAATACATGTAAAAGGCTTTGCAAAATAAAGCCTACCTAAATGCTGTTACTATTACCTAGGGGGATAGAGTGCCAGTCCTGGAATCTGGAAGACCCATCCTTCTGTATTCAAATCTAGTCTCAGACAATTACTAGCTGTGAGACACTGGCAAATCACTTAACCCTGTTTGCCTCAGTTTCCTCATCTGTAAGATGAGCTGAAGAAGGGAATGGCAAACCACTTCAGTATCTTAGCCAAGAAAACCCTAAATGGGTTTGTGAAAAGATGGACACCACTGAACAGTTATCACCTAGAGCCAAAATATGTCCCTGTATCTTTCACCCCTTTATCTTAATTCTGCCATTCAGGGCTAAATAATCTACCTGAGTTATTAACATTTGTTAAGTGTCTGTATGCAGATCCCTGCTAAGCATTAAGAGAAATACAAAATTTAATAGCCACTGATCTGATGAGAACACTTGGACTGAAAAAGTGGCATCAAAACATATCCTGGGTATACCTAGAAAAAAGATCCAAGCTGGCCATCCAAGATAAGGGAGCCTAGGCAGGTGTCACATCCTACAGGAAGCCTTCCTTGATCCCTGCATATACTGACCTGATTACAAAGGCTGATAGAGGATCATTGATTTAGAGCTGGGAGAGATCTTAGAGGCCACTGAGTCCAAATGTCTAACGTTACCGATGAAGAAACTGAGGTCCAGAGGTGTGAAGGACTTAAGTAAGGCCACATATGTAGCAAGTATAGAGCTGGGATTAAATCCCAGGTCCTTAGACCTCTGGAGTCCTTAGACTCCAAATCCAGGTACTCATTTTGTACCACTAGGCCCTCAGAAGAACATAAATTTCTTGAGGACAGGTATGATGTTTTCATTTTGTCTTTGCTTCCCCAGCACTTGAGGGGCCTGGGTGGGTTGGGGTGGGGGTGGATAGAGACAGCCCTGCAGCTAAGAGACTTGGGTTCAAGTCCCACTTCTGACACCTAGTGGCTGCGAGATCCTGAGGAATTCACTTGACTGCTCAGTGCTCTAGGCAACTCTTTAAGAGGTAGTGCTGACCTGCACTGGTAGAGGGAGTTTTCTCACCTGAGAGTTCCCTATGTGACAGAAAGCACAGGTTTAGACTCTAGCCCTAGCCCTATCCCCAGCACCTAGCACAGTGCTATACTGTGTGTGTGTGTGTGTGTGTGTGTGTATACACACACAGTATATGCTTACCCAGTATACAGTAGATGCTTAATTAATGCTCATTGGATTTGATTCCCACAAAATATGAAAAAATTCAGAGGAAGGAGAATCCATGGGAAGATAGGAGTAAGAATTGCTCAGGATGACAAGGTGTGCAGGGAGTACCCACATCATTGAGATTTTGGCCCCATTGCAGTATTGTGGTATGTATGTGGTGCTCTGCCCAAAGAACCATGGCTCCCCACTTACCTGGCACCTCCACACCATACACGGCTACATCAACCATGTCTAAGAGTCGGCTCAGGGTCCCCTCCACTTCTGTAGTGGATACATTCTCTCCTTTCCACCGGAATGTGTCACCTGTTCGGTCCCGGAAATACAGGTAGCCCAATTCATCCATCACCAGCACATCACCTGATAGAGGGAGGAATAGGGCTCAGGGGAGGCCTGGAAGATGGGACTTTGGGTTTCCTGCTAGAACCTACCCTGCAATACTAGGAAGCCAGAGGGAGGACAGGTGAGGGGGCTATGCTCATGAAAGCCGTGAATTATGGGATTTAGAACTAGAAGGGTCTTCAGAGACCACCTAAGTTCTCATTTTCAGATTAGGGAAGCTGAGGATACTGTTTAGGTCAAGGACCATAATTATTATTAATTAATGGTAATAGTAATAAATAACAATAATAATACTAATCTCAAAAGACTGCCATGGTATGGTAGACAGACAGCTGGCCTTTGAATCAGGAAGACCCCAGGGCAAGTCACTTAACCCCTCAGTGGCTTTGGGCAACTCACTAATAAGGCTACACACTTCAGAACAGTTGCAGATTTGTACTGGGAGAGGGAGTTTCCTTACTGAGAGTTCCCTACACCAATAAGATTATAGGTTTGGGGAAAAAAAACCCCAACTAACCTGACATTTATGAAGCCAGCACCTTAAGATCTATGGAGTGCTTTGCTAACAATAGCCTTATGAGATAGGCAGTAACTTTTCATAGGGAGTATTAATATCCTCATTTTATAGATCTTCATTTGAGGAGGGTGATGGACCGAGGTCTGGCTTTTCCTGTGTCCAGTACCCGAGGAGGCAGAGAATTAGGAATCAGGAAGACCTGGTTCTAAGAACTACCTCTGACTAATGTTAGCTTTGTGATCCCAGGAATTTACCTTACCTTCTCAGTGCCTGAGGCAACCCTCTAACTGTAAATTACAGAGAGTTGCTGATTTCTCTAACACTTTACCCATGAAGAAGCATAGGTTTGGATCACCCAGTTCTTACACACACACACACACACTCTCTCTCTCTCTCTCTCTCTCTCTCTCTGTCTGTCTATTACAGCCTGTTCTAAAACCCAGGTTCTCAATACAACTTTGGAAGGGAGGAAATTCATAAAAGGAAGGAAGGAAGGGCTGGTCCTGGGAATGTGGAGGAAGGGTCTCGAGGAGAAGGCAAGCATGGTGTCAATCCCTTCACTTTCTCTTCCACCCCCAAAGATTCAAAAAGAAACTAAAGGAGAAGAAGGGGAGAAGGACAGTAGCATGGCCCAGGGATAATGGAAAGGGGTCCTGACCACTGAGGTAGGCCATGTCTCCCTTCTTGAAGACATCATAGGCAATCTTCTTATCGTTGGCACCAGGATTGATGTACCCATCGAAGCGTCGAAGTGGGTCATGCTGCACAATTCGGCCAACAAGCTGGCCTGGCTCCCCTGGGAAAATCAAAGCTCAGCTGGGATACTTTCTCCCACCTGGTGACCTTTCCCCATGTTCTGTTCCTGCTCAAAAACCTTACCTGTCCCTATAAAGCCACCCAGACAACACCCAAACCCCTGCTTCATCCAGCGTTTGAGGCTCTTTCCCACTGACTCATCCATCGGCCTGCCTCCTCAGCCTCATCACCTACTGATCTTTTCTCTATAACCCCTCAGCTCCAGCCAGGCCATGTCTTTGGCATTCCTCAAACTCTGCTTCCTCACCCCACCTAGAAGGCCTCCTGCTCTGATTCTTCATGACCCCTTTTGGGGTTTTCTTGGCAAAGATACTAAAGTGGTTTGCATTTCCTTCTCTAGCTCATTTTACAGATGAGGAAACTGAAGCAAACAAGGTTAAGTGTTAAGTGACTTGCCCAGGGTCACACAGCTAGTAAGTGTCTGAGGCCACATTTGAACTCAGGAAGATGAGTCTTTCTGACTCCAGGCCGGCACTCTATGCACTGTGTCACCTAGCTGCTCATCTTTATCTATACTATATAACTCTATTGACATCTATCTCAAGCTATGTCTATTTAGATAGAAACATAGAGACTGGTGGATGGATGGGTAGGAAGATAAGGAGACAGATATGGATGAATGGTTAGATAGAGATGAATGGTTGGTAGGGGCAGCTTGGTGATGCAGTAGATAAAGCACCGGCTCTGGTGTTAGTAGGATCTGAGTTCAAATCCAGCTAATGATACTCATTAGCTATATGACCCTGGGTAAGTCACTTAACCCTGATTGCCTCGCAAAAAAAAAAGAGAGATGGATAGTTTGATGGCTGGGTAGACTGAGAGAGAGGTATAGATATATGATGGGATAGACAGAGGGATCGATAAATATGAATACAGAAGGATCAACAGATATGGATGGAGAGAAAAAGATGGATGGAGAGCTGGAAAGAGATCAATGGACAGATAGATATGGATGAAGAGAGAAAAAGAAAGAAAGAGAAAGAGAGAGGGTGGTATGGTATAGATAGAGAGCCAGCCTTGCAAGTCAGGAAGATATGGTCCACAGTCTGCCTCTGCATGTCCTAGCTGGTCAGGAATAAATCACGTGACCTCTTAGTGACTTAAGAAATTTTCTAAGAGTATAAGTTACAGAGTAGTTGCCAAGCTGCATTGGAAGGAGTCATTTCCACACCAGGATTTCCCTATACCAATGAAATCACGCATCTAGACAAAATTTGTGTGTGTGTGTGTGTGTGTGTAAGTATCTTCCCCCATAAGTGTAGGGGCTATCCCTTTTATATCCCCTAGAGCAGAAGTGTCAAACTCAAAGCAAACCAAATTAAAATGTAATTGGGAAATGTTTAACAAAACAAAAAAAAATGCAATAAAGCATGGATAACATTAATTTGTGGTTTTCCATGCACCTCCAGGGATCTTACTCTATTTGACTTTGACGCCACTGGCCTAGAGAATTTACAACAGGCCACAGTTTGTGGCAGTGCTCAGTCTAACATCATTTAGACCTGGGAGGTACCTCAATGACCATCCAATCCAAGCCCAAGGGGAGGCAGCTGAGGCCCAGGGAGAAGGTGGGAATCCAGAACTGGCTAAGGTCCCACGAGAATGGTTTCCTGCCCCCAGCCCTCACTAGCCAATCCCTCTGTCTACAGGTTAATTTCCTTCAGGTTTTCCCTCCCCCACCCCCACCTCCACTGCCAGTACCATCCATCTTTCAAGACAGACCTGGACCACAGGGAAGGCAGATGCCATTGTTATCCCTGATCAACTCCATGGTGTCCTCATTCACCCGCACGAGCCGGATGGGGTAGATGAAGGATATGATGCGGCTGTTGAAACCACAGGCCCCCACCTGTGAAGGCCAGGAAATGAGAACCCTGATGCAGAGATGCCAGCCATCCTCCAGTGACTCCCTCCCTCATCTTATCCCCTAGGTGGGTCCTAGGATTCTCTGGTGGACTTCTCTATTTTGAGAAGCGTGGATGTTTCTCCTTGGGACTGATACTCTATTTTGCCCCACCCCATCTGATGGGCCCCCAACTATGGGATGACCACCCCCCTCCAGGCCCTTTGCCCGATCTTCCATCTTTCCCAGTATCTGACCAAGTGTGTACCCAGATCCTCTCCCTAAGAGTCCCTGACCTGGCTATCAAAGTTGCCCACGCTGCAGTTGCATTCAGTGGCCCCGTAGAACTCAGCCACCTGAGGGACGTGGAAACGATTGATGAATTCAGTCCAGATAGACTGCCTAAGCCCATTGCCTAGGGCCATGCGCACCGAGTGCTGGGTCTCCACTTCTCTTGGAGGTTGGTTCAGAAGGTAGCGACAGAGTTCTCCAATATACTGGACAATCTAGGGGCAGGGACAGGGAGGAGGGAGACAGGTTGAGGCATCAGTCCTGGGACCATCCCCTTGCTCCCTGAGGCCATTCCTCCCCTCCACTCTATGGCCACTGACTCAAAGAATGTCAGACCTGGAAGAGTCCACCTATAGTAGGACGCCGAGACCCAGGGAGGGGACTGCCACCCTTGTCAGATCACACAGATAAGCTGGCGGCAGATTCCAATGCCCCTAACTCTGTGTTTCTTTCTTTTCAGTTACGTATAGCTTTTTTAAAATGCTATAAAACTTAACAATAATATCAAAATTTTCTTTTGTGACCCTTTTTGAACTTTTTTTTATTTTAAAATATTTTATTAATATTCTTTTCTTCCTTTTTTTTTAAGCATCTCTTATCACTGCATGCCAACTCACCTCTCCACCCAGCCCTGCTCCAGATAAATCCCCCCTTGTATACAAACAAGGATGGCTGGACAAAACTAATAAACAGCTAACGTTCCTTCGAAACCATCATGCTACCTCCCCACACCATGATTACTAAATCCTCTTCCCAGAGGTGCTCCAGAGACTTTGTCCTCTTTATCAAAGTCTTGTCTCCCCCACTGGACTATTAGTTTCTTCAGGGGTCAATTCTCTAACTCCCAGATACTACCTAGTATGGGTCCCAGCACAGGAAAGCTCCCTAATAAATATATGGAGGTGGAATGATTTCCTCATGTGAAAAATGAGTAGGCTGAGTCCTACCTACTCTACCCTCACAGAACATTATAGGGATCAAATGGGGCAATTAGATGAAAAGTACTTTGAAAAGAGCTGTCACCAGAGGAACACACAGGGCCTTTCCGGACTAGTGGTTATTTTTGGGTCCAGCTCCTAACACCCACAGCTGACAGTTCCTCTCTCTCTGTCTCTCTCTATCTCTTTCTCCCTGGTTCTCTGTCTCTCCCTACCCCCCTCAAGTCTTCTCCTCCCACCCCCTACCATCTCCCCACCAAGGTCTCCAGCTGCTGTGCTCACCGTACAGTTATACTTGATGCAGTCATCCCAGAATCGAGAGGCAGAGAACTTCTTTCGGATCACCACAGTCATCCCGTGTAGCAGACACTGTCCAACCCCCACAATGTTCCCTGGTAGGTGCAGGGGGAGCCCAGGGTGAGTGGGGGAGAGGGGGAGTAAAAGAAAGCTACCCAAAGGCTCCAGAAAAGCCCCCTTCTCTCCCAGGCTCAGAAGATGGAGGACCAGCCCCAGGCAAGGAAGATTCCATCCATCCACCCCTACTCCACTCCTTTCATGAGAGGGCAAAAGGACCTTCCCAAAGTGGGTCCCTAAGAGCCTAAGGTTACCTGCTGAGTGGTAGAGGGGGAGGCAGTCATATACAATGTCACTAGAACGCATTCGGAAGCCGTAGTAGACCAGGGCAGCCATCCGGTAATACCTGGGACAAGCCGGGGCCAGTAGAGGGAGACATTGGACACCTGGCAGAACCTGGGTTCCCTTCCTGCCTTCCCTGGGCACCGCCCTCACCTCCTCAGCTGTGCACCACGATGGCAGCTTTGGGCATTCCTGTGGTGCCGGAGGTGTAGATGTAGAAAAGCTTGTCTGGGGGAAGTGGAACACAAATGGTTGGCCAGAGTTAGGTGAACATGGGAGAAGTGAGCTGGGGAGGGGGAGTGCAGCTGCTGTCATAAGTGGATACAGAGGATGAGAGCCAAGCCAGGAAGGGAGAGGACAGAAGAGAAATGGACCCTTCCTCTATACCTATTCGAATCCTGCTGGCTCTTGAAGACCCAGCTCCATGGAGTCCACCTAACTCCATGGAGTCTTCGTTCCTGATCACCAGAGCTCAAAGCAACCTCTTCTCTGAACTCCAGCTCCATTCAGTGCTAATACCCCTCACTTGGCAATCATCATGTATAGGCTTTTCCTGCCAGGCATATATATGTCTTACGTCCTCAGGTGATTGCCCAAAGGGCAGGGGACATTTCTTAAACTTTTTTTCCTGAAGCTTTGTGCATACCCAGCACCTTCATAGGTACCATGAGGGGAAAGATGGGAACCTATAGTCCCTGCCTTCAAGTAGTTTATAATGTGGTTGAGCAGACAAGACAGAGGCATGTGAAAAGTTACATTATACAAGAGATTTTACAAGGCAGAATGGGGTAGTAGGTACTGAATGATTTGAGAGGAAGGAGTGATCAGGGCAAGTTTCACAGAGGAGAGGGTCAGAGAGATACATTAGAAAGGGCCTGGAACAATTCCAGAGGACTTATGATAAAACACGGTACCTATCTCCTGATAGAGAGCTGAAAGCTCAGAGTGCAGATCAGGGTCTATTCTTTTTTCCTTTTCTACATAACCAATGTGGTTGTATCCAAATCCAATTATAGCCAAATTCCAATGTGGGAGTTTGTTTTGCTTGACTATACATATTTGTAATGGTTTTTTTTTCTCGTTTTTTCAATGGGGTTGGGGGAAGAGGAGCGAGGTGATGGGAAAAGAAATAAGAGATGAAAATAAAATAAAATTGGAAAGGAAGAAAGAAAGGAGGGAAGGAAAGCAAGAAAGAGAAAGAGAAGGAAGAAGAAAGGAAGGATAGAAGAAAGGAAGAGAAAAGAAGGAAAGTGAAAGGAAGAAGAAAAGAAGAAAGAAAGAAGGGGTAAGGAAGGAAAGAGAAAGAGAAGGAAAGAAAAAGAAAGGAAGGAGAAAAAAGAGGGGGAGGAAGGAAGAAGAAAGGAAAGAGAAAGAGGAAGGTAAAAGAAAGGAAGGAAAGGGGAGAGAAGAAAGGAAGGAGAAAAAGAAAGTAGGAAAGAAAGGAGAAAGGAAAGAGAAAGAAAGGAAGGAGAAGAAGAAAGGGGGAGGGAGAAAGGAAGGAAAGAGAAAGAGAGGAAGAAAAAGACAGAGGGGGAGGGAGAGAGGAAGGAATGAAGAAAGAGAAAAGAAGGAAGGAAGAGAAAGAAAAGAAAGAAGGAAAGAGAGAAAGAAAGAGAAAGAAAGAAAGAAAGAAAGAAAGAAAGAAAGAAAGAAAGAAAGAAAGAAAGAAAGAAAGAAAGAAAGAAAGAGAAAGCAATTTGGACTCAAGAATCATCCAGGCACACATTAAGTGATCAATGAGGACCTGTTCGATAAATTAACGAACGGTGAGCTAACAGAGAGGCAGCCCTGAGCCAAGCTTTCTCCCTTATCCAACAGTGGGGATCATACCAGTGAAGCCTTTGTCTGGTTGACTGGGCAGACTCTTGGGGGATTCCTCCAGAAGGGGTTCCAGGTGTTCAGTTCCTGCTGGCACAGAGCTGGGGTCCCAGTCTCCTGAGCAGAGGAGACTCAAGGAGGGGTCCAGAGTGCTGTGGATTTCACAGACAGCTAGGAGGACAGAGATGATAGGAAGCAGTCAGCACTTGGGGAAGCTCCCTTGCCCAGGGATGGGTGGGGCCCAGGTGACTCCCTCAAGAGCAAGCCTGCTGCTCTCAGGGACCTATGATCCCCACCTCTGCACTCTGGGCACTGTACCAGAAGGAATGCTATGGGGCCAGGGCTTCTAGCACCTGGAGCTGTGGGTGAGCTTCTCTAGGACATTTCTAGGGTGGGGTAGAAGTTTTTTGATAGGGAAATGGTGGAGGTGAGGGGTAATAGAGATATGGAAACCAGGGATCAGCAATGAACAGCTCCTTCCCACATCTGGAAAAATAGAAGTAATTCCTCCAGGTCAATGCTTGAATGCAACCTGATGTAAGCTAATTCTGGCTTTCTCAGTTCTATTCCCACCCTCCTTGTTCCCTCAGACTCTCTCCTTTCCACTCAAAGAGCATTCAATTAGGAAACCAAAGCCCTGGGTTCTAATTCACTTTCTACATAAAAATAGATGTGTGACCTTGAGCAAACAAACGTGATTTCCTGTCCTCAATTTTCTTTTCTATAAAATTAACGGATTTGCTTTACGGATCTCCAAGTCCCTTCTAACTCTGCTCTTCTGTGTTCTAACATCTCTTATCCTTCCTATCCTCCCATCCTCCCATATGTATTCTTGGGCCCCAGACATGGTTCCTAATACTCACCAGAAGACAGCTCGCTGCCAAAGATGAGGATACGGGCCTGAGAGGTAGTCAGGCAGTGGCGCAGGGCATCCCGCCGCAGATTAGTGTTGATGAGGGCTGCCTCCACCCCCAGCTTGGCCATGCCCAGCCAGAGCCCCACAAACTCATTTCGGTTCTCCATGAAGAGAGCCACCACATCACCAGAAGCCAGGCCCCGTGCTTGCAACAGGTTGCAAGCTGCAGTGGAGTACGTGTCCAGCTGGTGGAAAGTCCAGTGGGTATCTGTGCCCTCGAATATCAGGGCTGTCTTGTCCGGGTGGCGCTTCAGGATGGAAGCAAAGATCGTAGGCACCGTCTGGCGCTCTCGGAGGTATTTCCTCACCTTCCACTTTACCTTCAACAGGACAGTCCCAGCACTGCCAAGGGAAAGGAGGGGGTCCCTTCAGGAATGTGTCCTACACCCACATCAATTTCATGCCTCTTGTTTTAAGTATATAATTCCATACTTTCATTTTCAAAACAGTTCTGCTTGTCATGATTACTAGTCAAACTTCCCTTGAGGGAATGTGAAATATTACAATGGCCCTTTAAGACATCATTATTGCTATTATTAATTATTACTAACTCCACCTTTCATTAACCTCCCTTTCTTCCTCCCAATTAAAAACACAAAAAGGGGTAGGTGGGGCGGGTGGAGAGTTGTAACACAATTAAAATCAATCCACACTGTGGCCATGCCTAAAAACGTATGCTCCCTCTTCCATCTTGTGCCCATCCCTTCTGCCTGAAGAAGGGCAACACCTCTATCGTATTTCCAGGACTTCTGGAGACTTCTGGAGACAAGTTGTTCAATCGTATTCATTAGTTTCAAAGTTGATTCTCTTTACGTTGTCGTACCGCTCCAAATTCTCCTGATTCTGCTTATTTCACTTTGCATCATCAGTCCATACTACTCAGGATTCTATGAAATCGCCTCTCATCATTTCCTTTCTAGATTTCTCTGAACTCATGTGTTTGTATTCCAAACTTCCTACTTGGCTCTGGTCTTTCCATCAGAAATGCTTCAGAATCTTCTATTGTGGTAAATATCCACTTTTTTCCCACATAGGATTATGCCAGGGTTTGCAGGGTAGCGTATTCTCGGTTGTAAGCCTATCTCTTTTGCCTTTCTACTACCCTCTGGGTATTAGCATCCTGGCCTCAGGACTCACTAGCCTGATCCCATGCCACAGCAATCACATGCCTGCTTGAGGACAGTGCCAAACCTACATAAGGTAGGTGCTCTATTTAGGGGACAAAGTTTCTTTCTAATGCTTTCATGCTCCTATGCAGAAGAGAGGCCCTCTTGGAGTTGGATTTTGTAGTATCTACCTCAAGGAGAACTCAGGCTGGCACCTCTTTCCATCTGGTATCATGTGCTTAGAAAATGAGTACCTTGAGGACAGGGACCATCTCACTTTTGTACTTGTAGTCCCAGAACCTAGCAAAGTCCCAGGGAACAAAGTAGGTGCAAAATAAGTGTTTGTTGATTGATAGTAGGTGCATAATAAATGCTTATTGATTGACTGCTTTCTTTTTTTTTTTTTGAGGCAATCAGGGTTAAGTGATTTGCTGAGTCACATAGCTAGTTCAGTGTCTGAGGGCAAATTTCAACGCAGGTCCTCTTGACTCCAGGGCCAGTGCTATATCCACTGTGCCACCTAACTGCCTCACTTGAGTGATTTCTTTCCCCAGCCTTCTCACAGCCATTTCCTGATTGGGCCAGCACAGACCTGATGTTACTCTGTCAGTCTTACAGTAAACCTCACATTCCTACGGTACTACTCTTGGCATGAACCAGTCCTGCTGTGCCATGATCCAGCCTGGCCTTCATGGCAGCCTTTACCCTTTTAGGTTATGTCTGCCTAACACCAGCCCAAATTCTTAGCACTGGTCTCAAGCTGATTCCAGTCTGTCCCTGCTAGTACCAGCTGTCTCCAGCCTAGACGAAGCCTTCCACAGGCAGATATATAGCCATGATATCCTCCTGGAGTCAGACTGTAGAAAGGGAGAAAATGCTGGCTTCAAGGCTAGTCCCCTCCACCACCACCCAGGGCAACCCCAGTAATCACCCACCCTCTGATCCCCAGAGCAACCAGGACTGAGGGCTCAGAAATCTAAAGTCAGGGAGATTGCCTGGGCAGCGTACTTTGATCTTTGGGCTTCCGATACCAAAAGGGACATGAGAAAGCAGGAAGGAGTGAAGAATAACTCTTATATTGTGGGGAAAGGTAAGCCTATTGTCCTCAGAGGCAAGGGGGAAGTCTCTAGAGGGGACTGTTAACATAGGAACCCAGAGGTAGAACCATAGGGTATTGGGTCAAAAGAGCAGGTACTCACAAGATATCACGCCCAAGGGTCTTCCAAACGATCCTGATGAACCTCCAGCCCCCAAAGGCAAGGTAGAAACAGAGCACAGAGAGGCCCACCTGTGTCCATTGCAGCTGCAGCACCAGCCTGGAGAGCACAGCTACCCCCACCAGGGATACCTTGGACAGCATCCTGGCCTGTGGGGCATCAGAGCTGGTGGTCACGGGCTGAAGGCTTGGGAGCCTGGCTTCTTCTCTCCCCCTCTCCTACCTCTTTGGTTGGGTACCCTGGTCTCCTCATAGTAAGGCAGTTCTATCTCTCCCAAGAATCCTTTCCCAGAAGTGCAGGCCACTGGGCAGAATGTCCAGTGACTCAGACTACTGCTCTTCCCTTTCTTTCTCTCTCCTCCACTTCGAGTAAATGCCCTTTGGGTAAGCCCCAATGTTTCCTGAAGTAATTTAGGGGTGCGGGTTGAGGAACAAGAATAATTTCAGGTATGGGACACAGGAAGGAAGAGGCAGGGCTAGGAGGGAAGATTCTAGTGTCTAGCTGTATTTTGTGATGGGGGGGGGGAGGAAGGTGGCACAGAAAAAGGAACCAGGTTATGAATCAAGGGCCGGGGTTCTAGCACCCAACTTGCCATTAATGAGTTGTGTGACCTTGACAAACTTAGAGTACCTGGGCCTCCATTAACTCTTCTGTGAAGTGGAGGGGGTAAGGTAGGACTAGATAATCTTTGAGGTCCCTGCTAGCATTTTATTGGTGTGGGGAGAGGTAGCTCAAATGGGGAGCTTTTTCAGGCCTTTTCATCCTTTTCAGGCCAGAGCCTATCTCCTTGAATAAGATAGGAAGGCCAAGATGGAGCACCAAATAAAGGTTCAGAAAGGAATCTGAGTCTCAGACTCTACCTTCTGCCCATCAATAACCCCTTCTTAAGCAACATCAGATAACTGGGTTCCTCCTAGTTCCACTGTCCCATACACAGTAAAGTCACAAGGGGATGTGCTTCTCCTTCCAGCTTCTGGCCTTCACCGGGACATGGGAAGTTCAAAAGCTCAGTCTTCCAGCCCTGTGGCTTGGGCAGCTTCCTGGAAAGGGGGAGCCCAGGCAAGGAAGCAAGTCGGGTAGGATGGGAGGTGTCTCCAAGGGGCACAGTGCTCCAGATTGACCACTAGAGGGCAGAGAGAAGTAGTTGGGGCTAGACTCCTGTGGGGACACTGAGAAGTGACATAAAGACCTAGGCCTGTCAGAGTGGTTTCTGATAGTACATCTGATGCCTGAATGGGGTGGGCCAGGCAGTGGGGAGAACCTACCCAATTCTATATTAGCTCAATAAGTCTTCATGGCCAGAATTACCCTGGAAAGAGACCTTTGGGACTGGGTGTTCCTACCACGTTGACCTCAGAGGCAAGATCATATTCTCTGGCTGGCCACAGTTAGGAGTCCTGGTTTCCAATCTTGCCCTGTCATAGACTTGCTGGGAAGGGTCATGGTGGCAAAAGGGGCACTGTTTCCCTGTGCCCCCTCCCCAAAAGAGTCATCTCTACCCCGGGAAATATTGATGAGCAGATATGCACGGTGAGGTGAGGTCCTCAAAACTAGGTACCCAACCATTCCAGGTCTTGGCTGGCCTGTAGACTGTGTTAATGGACAAAGATACTTAAGAGGCCCTTAAAGAATGTCCTCCAAACACTATCACCTGTCCCCAAAATGTTGCTTCTCCTTCAGAGAAACTGCCCTCAGCCCAGTCAGAGGTGGGATGAAAGCTTCTTGGGTCTGACTATCTCTTCCCTTCCCCATCAGGAGGCAAGAACCAGACCTGGGGTAAGGGAATAGGGGTTCTGGGGAAGGGATGCACATCCCTGTCCCAGGTCCTGGCAGGGCCTGTGGTGGGGTAGGGCCCGAAGCCTTTACTCCCAGGTCTGGGGGCCTGGAAGGAGGAAGCTAGAAACCTGGGCTACGCAATTCAGCAGATCGAGGAGGCTGAAAGGCAGTCAGGTAGACAGGCAGACAGACATACGGACAGACAGACAGACTGCGAAGCTAAAGGATCCCCCGGCTCTGCAAACGGCCCCGCCCGACACCCACCCCTCCTCACTGGCTCAGCCCATCGGCCAACACCCATCCCAGGGCCCTGGGCGGCTCGCCCCCCACCCCAGCATCCAGGGCGGCCATCCCTGGAGAACCGAGGGGGCCTAGGGGCTATCCGAGGTGCGCCGGTCCCTAGGGCCGCAGGGCAGTCGGCGCGACTCCATGAGAGGAGCCCAGGTTTGCTGCGCACAGGTGGAGCCGGACGCCACCCAACACCTCCTGTCCTCCCCTCCAGGTCACCCGCAGTGGGCACCAAACTCACCCCCGGCTTCGTCCCCGCCCAGCTGCGCCCCAGTGCCCCGGCGCGACCTCCCGCGCGCTCCAAAGGTGGCCCAGCTGCAGGCGGGGAGCTGGCGTGGATCTCGGGAGCGGGGAGACAGGCTGAGCCCCGAGCTTGGGCTAGGCTTTGGGCTGCGGCTCGCGGACTTTGCCGGGCTCCTCCCGCTTGCCCTCCTCCTCTTTTCCCCCCCTCCTCCGCCACTACCTGCACCGCCCACCTCCAACATACAAACCGGCTACGCCGGGCTCGACCGCACCTCCTGCTCCTCCTCCTTCCCCCGCTCTCCGCGGCCGCAGCCGCCGCAGCAACGCAGGTAACCCTGCAAAGCGGACGGGGAAACTGACTCGCACCTCGCCATGCGCACGGGCGCGAGCCACCCCAGAGCTCGCGCGCTCCGGTCTAGACGCTGCAGTGCACGCTGGGAATTGTAGTCCTCCCCTCCCCACAGTGCTCTCCTCCCATCCCCTTACTTCCCCGCGTTGGGCTCATACGGGACAAATTCTTTTGAGGAACCCAGGACCCAATTCCCTGGGATCTCGGGGTGGCCACTTTGATGCTGCCCACCACCCGGTGCGGAGAGGAGGAAGCACCATGCTTCCTCTTCCCCTCCTCCTAAATTTGATCCTCGTGGTTAACTCTCCTGGGAGAGTCCAAAGGCGGGACTTAAGCCCGGGATACGGGATAAAGTTTTGCAAACTTTGGAAGCGGGTGCTGGGGGCATGCCCAGCCGGGCAAAGCACTCCTAGACACTGAGAAAAATAACAAGAAGCTTGAAGAGAGGGGAAGTGAAAAGGGTGGTCAGAATGTAGGGTGAAAAAGTGCCTACTCTTAATAGCCAGGCTCTGTGGCGCAATGGATAGCGCATTGGACTTCTAGCTCCGTGACTTCTGAAGTCATTCAAAGGTTGTGGGTTCGAGTCCCACCAGAGTCGCGTTTTGAAGAGTACTTTCCGCTGCTGGGAACGTTTTATAAAAGTCTTTGGAAGCTCTGTTGTAAATGTGGCAGAACCCTTGAAGAGCAAATTTTGGAAGATTAGGTCACTGTCTACGCATTCGTGCAAAGTTCATACTTTGAGATAGCAGCTTGATGTGGTGGAAATGATAGCCTACTTAGTTCTGCCACTAAAAAGCCTACTCTGTGTCACAGTTTTCCTCATCTGGTAAATGAGAAAGAATTGAGCCAAGGTTACTTCCAAGCTCCAAACTTCATAGTCTCGAGTCTATATACTCACATGCATGCCTTCTTGGTTTCCTTCCTCCCTGGAAAGCAGGAAACAATAATAGTAATTCACATGTACATAGTGCATTCAAAGCACTGCCCTCAAAACAACCCATATTACTGATTAGGAAATAATCCGTGAGAGGTTAAGAGAAGATCACCCTCACAATCAGTAAGCTTCATTTGGACCCAGGTGTCTGGCTCAAGTCCAGCACTCCATCCACTATATACTACTTCTCACCTATAGTTGAGGCAGCATGGTGCTATGGAAAGAAAATAGCTAGCATTTATATGGCCCCTATAAGAACTTTACAAAAATATTATCTCATTTGATCCTCATAACTATTCTAGGAGGCAGATGCTGTTATTATCTCCATTTTATAGTTGAGGAAACTGAGTCAGAGGTTAAGTGACTTGTCCAAGGTCACACAGCTAGTAAGTGGCTGAATATGGATTTCAGCTAAGGTCTTCCAGATTCCCAGACCCAGCACACTATCCACTGGGCCACCCAGCTTCCCCATAGTGTACTTAACTTTGGAATCAGAGCCTGTGGGTTTGATATTTACTATGAAACTTTGGGCAAGTCATTTAACTTCTTTTGGCCTCAGTTTCCTCATCTATAAAATGGATCCTGACCCTGACATTCACTGTCACTGTGACTTTAGATAAGTCACTCTTTAGGCCTTCTTTAGGCCTTGGTTTCCTCCTCTGTAAAATACTGGACTTGGTCCTTAGCTGGATCTAAGGTCCACAGTGAAACTCTAAATCTACGGAAACATTTAAATATTTAACATTTAATATATTGATTTCATCTTATTTTTCCACCTGCTGCCTGATGAAAAAAAACAACAACAACAGTAAAATAAGGCACAAAGACCTTGACTTAACCCAGGTTAGAACACTTATGCAGCCTTGCTTCCAAGCATAGAATCAGCAAGTCTCATCTTTGGAAGAAATGTTGAAGATCAAATCCAACCTTTCACCCAGAGCAGGGATTGACTTTACAGCATCTCCACAGGTGTTTAGTTAGCCTTTGTGCAAACATTTCTCCTGACCCAAAGATAACAGCAAAGCAACTTGTTCCACTGTGGGACAGTACTGATTTCATTTCGGCATGAGATCTGCCTCCCTAGTAACTTCTACACCCATGGGGGCAGTTCTCCTTTCTGGACCTACATGGGATAAAGCCCCGAACTCTCCTTTGCTTGACTTTTCTTTATCTATTTGAAGATAACAATTTCCCCTACCTCCACCCCCTGCCCAGTCCACTCAAGCGTAAACATCCTCCCGACTTTAAAGCATTGTTCAGATGGTGTGGTTTCTGGACCTTTCATATATATCATTCTCATCTGAATATGCTCTGGTTTTCGTACCTCCCTCTCAAAATGTGGTCCCAAAGACAGGACACAATACTCCAGAAGTGGTCTGATCAGGGGGGGACTGAAGGGCACCGCCTTTGATCATATTCTAGGAATTTTGCTTAGGATCATACATTAACTTTGTTTGTTTGCTTACACAAGTCTTCCATTGGTTCCACCAGACCAGTGCTTGGATGACTTGGTTGTTTTAAGGGGGACATCTGGCTAACAATTCTCGGAGTCATAATGAGCTAGTGCAAGCAATAAAAGATGTACAAAATGCTGTGAGACTTTGGAAGGAAAAATCACTTCTAGCTGGAGTGACCAGATGGGTCTTGAAGGATAGGCAGGGATTTGACAGGTGGAACTGGATAAGGAAGACCGTGCCAAGAACTGTCTGTATTAACAAAGATGAAATGGTGGCAAACCAGAGGGCTGTTCAAGGAATAGTGAGTGGTCCACTTTGACTGGAGTATAGGGCTGTCAAACTGGTACTAACTAGTGGGATATCGGGCTAGAAAGGTAGGTTGGAGCCAAATCTTGGAGGACCTGGACTGCCAGGCTGAGAGATTTTTAGGAGGGGGAGATTGAAAATTTCTAAGCAAAGGAGTAATATGGTAAAACCATGCTTTAGCAAGATTACTCTTCCAAAATGCTAGCACATTCTTATCTTCAGCTTTTTTTTTTCTTTTGGTAAGGCAATTGGGGTTAAGTGACTTGCCCAGTCACCCAGCTAGAGTGTTATGTGTCTGAGACTAGATTTGAACTCAGGTCCTTCTAACTCCAAGACCAGTGCTTTATCCATCACACCACCTAGCTACCCCTTTGAGCTCTTTTTAAATACACTCCTCAGCCACCAACGCTTATTAGAGTACTTCCTCAGGACAGACATTTTGCAAGCTTCCAAGATGACACCTTATCTCATGTAGGCTTTGTTTTACATTGATGTCTTTCTGTTTAGGAAACCCCTTTATCTTAGCCTATTTTCAGCATATTTCTTATGTTGGGTTATTTTTGCAGATGACTGATCTTATTCAATTATAATTATTATTTTTTTGCTTCAGTTCCAGAAGGTATTATATCTTTCCCAAATTCTGGGAAGGCACCTTGTTTGGCCCCTCCAGATCTGCTATGCACTGAATGCCAATATGTTGTCCAATCATACACTTTTTAAAAGCTTACTTTGTAGGGGTACTAGGTGGCACAGTAGTTACAGCACCAGCTTTGGAGTCAGGAGGATCTGCGTTCAAACCTGCGCTCAGACACTACAACTATGTGACCCTAGGCAAGTCATTTAATCCTCATTGCCTTAAAAAAAAAAGCTTATAAAAATGATAGCTCACGTATGTATAGTACTTTGTTTAGAAAATACTTTCCTCACAACTCTGTGAGGTAGGTAGTGTATTATCCTCATTTTGCAAATAAGAAAACTAAGTCTCAGAAAAAAAAAAGTAAGAAGTGACTTGAAGTGACTAGCCCAGGGTCACACAGCTGCTCTATGTCAGAGCCAGGTCCAGTTTTTTGACTACATTATGATGTTTCTAAAAAGTACTCTTTAGGGTTCTAGCATTTGTCACTCCGTCAATACATACTGATATAATAATAAGCCATAATCCTCTCACTTAGGACTCTACAAAGGAAATAACATCAATGTTAAATCAAATTGCTTAAAAGTGAATTAAAACCCTGTCAAAGATCTGAATTGGTTTAGGGCCTTGCACATGGTAGGGCCTTGCACAAGTTCAACAGATTTATTGATTTAGATTTGCATAATTCCTTGGTATGCTTGGAGTGCTGCTTGCCCTGGCCCTGGAAGTATGTACGTATACATACATATACACACACAAAATTGTGCCCTGGCTGGTTGCTAAATGGCCTCTTGGTTAACTAAATATTGGTTGATTTCAGAAACCTGGTACTGAGTTACTAGACCACCACAGACCAACTTCAGGAATGTCCATGCACATCTAACAACAGAGAAAAAGCAGTGAATCCCAACCTCCATTCTATTGTCTCTTATTTGCTTTTTTTTTGGGGGGGGGCTAGGTAATAAGGTTAAGTGACTTGCCCAGGATCACCCAGCTAATAAGTGTCAAGTGTCTGAGATCAAATTTGAACTCAGGTCCTCCAGACTCCAAGGCCAGTGCTCTATTCACTGCACCACCTACCTATTCCTCATCTTCCCTCATTTGCAAACCAACCATTGGCAACCTGGGAATTAGACCATGTGACAAAGTTATGTCAGAGCATGCTTATCCAGTCCACACTCTATCACCAACAGAGACCCCGAAGGACTAGAGGACGGTATGATTATCTTCCTTGACATCAACCTCAAAAGTTAGGTCCTTTCCAGATTCCCTTAGGAATTTGTCACCCACATTTGTCCTAACTTAAAAAAAAATTTCCTGCCTGTACCAATTCATTTTCCTCTCCCCAGGTTAAATACTATTTTTTTATATTTTTTTTAAGTAACAAGTTTTTTTAAAAAAAATAATCTCTCTCCTACTAAAACCCCACCAACTGAGCAATTTTTAAAAAAATGAAAAATGAAAAACAAATTCTCCAGATATGACCCCTTCATCTTCAACTCATCCTGTCCCCTTTATATATCTATCTATATCTATATCTATATACATACATATAATTTTTTGCCTCCAACTACACTAATGCTGGCAAAGGTCTCACGAGTTATAAATGCCCTTTGGGCATAGTTTCATATTGTTCTCCAGAATGGTTGGATCAGTTCACAACTCCACCAACAATGCATTAGTGTTCCAATTTTCCCACATCTTCTCCAGCATTTATCATTTTCCTGTTTTATGTTATGTTAGCCAATCTGATAGGTGTGATGTGGTACCTCAGAGTTGTTTTGATTTACATTTCTCTAATCAATAGTTGTTTAGACCATTTTTTCATATGATTATAGGTAGCTTTAATTTCTTCATCTGAAAACTGCCTATTCATATACTTTGACCGTTTATCAATTAGAGAATGACTTGTATTCTTATGAATTCTTATAAAAACATAGTTCTCTATATATTTTAGAAATGAGGCCTTTATCGGAGACACTGGTTGTAAAACTTCTTTCCCAGTTCTCTGCTTCCCAATCTTGGTTGTATTGGCTTTGTGCAAAAACTTTTCAATTTAATGTAATCAAAATTACCCATATTGCATTTCATAATGTTCTTTATCTCTTTTAGCCATGAATTCTTCCATTCTCCGTAACTTGTTTACCCTTTAATTAGATATAAATTCTCCCAGTTGGGTGGGGTATCCAAGATTGAGGAGAATGTCTCATTGTCAGGCCAGTCCTTCTCAAGAACTAAGCTTTGAATAAGGAAACAGAAAGGGGAAAAAACTCTGGATTCCCACCCACCTCCCATTAATAATTGGTTATTAATAATAATTTTTCTGTTTCCATTCTGATTTTTTTCTACATTAGATTTGTTTGTGCAAAATCTGTTACATTTTATGTGCTATAATCAAAACTGTCCATTTTATCTTTGGTGACGAGTTTAGTTATGAATTCTTCCCCTATCCATTCATCTGAGAAGCAATTTCTTCCTTTTCCTCTAATTTACCGTTGACCTTTTGTATCTAGGTCATGGATCATTTTTGGATCTTACCTTGGTGGATAGTGTGAATGTTGGTCTGAGCCTAATTTCTGCCGGACTGCTGTTCTGTCTTTCCAGAAGTTTTTGTTAAACAGTGAGTCCTTTCCCTAGTAACTGGGATCTTTGGGAAAGGGAGGGGAGAGGAAGGGAAGCAAAGAGAAGGGAAGAGAATAAGCATTTATATAGCACCTACTATGTGCTGAGTACTCTACTAATTAATTTTTTTATAATTTTTTTTATTTGATCATCACAACCACCCTGCAAGGTAGGTTCTTACAGATAAGGAAACTGAGGCAAACAGAGGTTAAGTGTTCATCAAACACTATATTAATTTGTTTACTTCAATATGTTGTGTACCTAATCTATTCCACTGATCAACCTTTTTTTTTTAAATAACTAAAGCCGTGCCATTTTAATACTATTTTTTTAATATTGTCTGAGATCTGGTACTCATAGACTCTTCCTTTCCACTTTTTTCATTATTATCCTTCAGATTCTTGGCTTTTTATTCCTCTCTATGTATTTTGTTGTGATTTTCCCTAGCTCTACAAAATATTTTGGAAGTTTGATCACTGAATATGCAAATTAATTTAGGTAGTACTGCCTTTTTTTTTTTGCTTTTTTTTTGGGGGGGTTAAGTGACTTGCCCAAGGTCACACACAGCTAGTAAGTGTTACGTGTCTGAGGCTGGATTTGAACTCAGGTCTTCCTGACTCCAAGGCTAGAGCTCTATTCACTATGCCACCTAGCTGCTCCATACTGTCATTTTTGTTATATTGGCTGGACCCACTTATGAGCAATTAATGTTTCTCCAGTTATCCGTGTTTTTATTTATTTTATAGTTAGATTCTTATAGTCCCAGAATGATCCTCCTGTACCGTCTTAGAAATAATGAGTCATCTAAATTTATGGCTCATACACTCTGTGTGAAGTAGGGCAGTGTGTTAAGATGGAAAGAACCTTAAGTCTTAGAACCAGGAGAATCTTGAGTTTGAATTCTGCCTCTGCTATTAGTTATTAACCAGTGGCAAGTCACTTAATCTTTCTGAGCCTTGGTGTCTTTATCTGTAAAATGGGAATGATACCTATAATGTCTATGAGGCTGTAGTGCTGCTTAAATGAGATGCAGTATGAAAAAGTATTTTGTAAATCTTGAAGACCTCTTTAAAGTGCTAATTAAGGCATGTTTTTTTTTTATTTACTCTAAACTCCTAAAGAAGTGCAGAGAAGGCTTCAAGCAGGTGAGCCAGAAGCCAGTCAGGCAGGAGCCAGACTACCAACCTTAGGGCACACAGTGAGGAGAGGCAGCTGCAGTCCGGCTTTGTGTGGATACCTATCCCCTAACCACACTATTCCAAAAGGATGCCACACATTCACAGTCCCTACCCCGCCCCATCTCTCCCTCCTTCATTTCCTGGCTCTCATGTCAGGAAAATGCTAGCTCAAAGCTCTTTAGACAAGCCTGGAAGCCTTCACCCAAACCCTCCAGCATGGCTATTGTAGGAATGGAGGGGGAGAATAGAACCTAGAAAACAGGTAAAAAAACTTGGTCTTTTTCCTTAGGATCAAATGTTGGAGTGAGTTCTCAGGACTGCCAGCAAGCCATCTGGCAAAAAAGAAGAAGAGAAACGACTATCTGGGTCCAAAATGGGGCTTTATTTAGACTACGGAACCAACACCCCTCCTTATACCACTTCTGGATCCAGAAAGTTGACATCCCGTTCTCCTGTGCAAACCACCCTACAAGATTCCTGAACTTGGAGGGAAGGGGAGAGAAAAGGGTGAAAGAGCGGGAGAAGTAAGATGAAGTAGAAGGGATTCTTCCAGGGGAAAGCAGAGGAAATTAAATAAATTCATGGAGCCATGGATTCCTGATAAATCCACAGAATTCTCTGTGTTGCGCCCATTCAATTCCAGTTATATGGCAGTAGTGGATTGCTTCTGGCCTACTGCAGAGATTTCTTCTGAACAATAAGCAGATTCCTTTTATTCCCATATCTCTTTTGGGAGATAAGGGGATACACATGTCCCTTTAAGGTCACTTTTAGAACTTTCTTCATTCCTTTACCTGGGGCTAGAAGTCCCAGGGTACAGAGTGCAAAGGTCCCGGGCAGGGCAGCCTGTTACCCAATGGCACAGGGTTGGCATGAACTATTGGATCAGATCTTTGGGGACTGAGTACGGCCTGTCCACACAATAGGGGGTGGAGTGATGCCTAGCTCCTCCCGAAGGGCTCCTATGGGCTGCTCCCACCGTTGTTCATAGTAGAGGCTAAGGATGCATCGGGAGTTTCGGCCATTCTGAACTGCCCAGGGGATCAGCTCTGATATCAACACCTTCAGCTTCCTGTGGAGACAGGGAAGAATTCATTATGTCAACCCCATCCCATACTTCCCCCATATGACATCTGTCCAGCTGTAAAGAAATTGCTAAGGTCTAAATGCAGGCACTGACAGGGTTCTGGCTTTTGCTCCTATCTCCTGCCTCTCTGCCCTCCAGCTCTTCTTCCTGCCTGGACACACATACAAGAGGCCACAAAGGAACTTACTTGGCACTGAGTCGGATGGGTCCGAAGGCAGCTCCTAAGACACACATAGGTAGGCCTGTCTGGATAGCTTCAAACCACTTAACCACAACTTCTCCTAGCCAAAAGGAAAAAAAAAATTGGTAGTGATAGGGACAGGCCACACATCACCGTATAGTGGAAGCAGCAAAGTATCCTGAGAGCCAGGAGACAGCATGTACCAGGAAGGGCAAACCACCATCTCCTCCCCTTAGCTCCTTATGGAGAGAGCCCAGAGACCTGAACCTCCAGGCTACTAGCTCTGCTTCTAGCTCAGGCCCTATCACCTTCATTAAGGGGAGCAACCACCATATGCAACCAGCGTATCACCACTGTTGACCCATTGCCACCAATGAGAAGGTAGGCCCAAGAACCTGGGGAATGGCAGCACTTCCCTCTGCTTCTCCCCGATCCTGCCACTGGTTCTGCTTCCTAGCCCAATTCCCAAAGTCATCATCCCCATTTGAATGTGAACTCCTTCAGGGCATGGAATTCTTTCTTTTTCTATCTGTATCCCTAGTGCTTGGTATGTAATAAACACTTAATAAATGCTCATTCATTCATTCATTCATGTGATGCTCAAGTTGGGCTGCACAGCTTAGAGGAGGGGGAATCAGGAGCTGGTCAAACTCACCTGGTTCCTGTAATAGTTTGGCCAGGGCAAGGTACTGGCTCCCTTCCTGATCTGATGCTTTCACAGTTCTTGTCCCTTTGGATTTAAGATGTTCAGACAAGCCACCCCACCCCAACCTCCCAGGCTTTGTGCCCACCAGAATGGAATGAGTACTCACGCACCAAGCATGTTGGTGGGCATTCCCAAAAGGGTATGGAGTAGGTCATGAACTTCACGGTAACGCTGGATCACGTAAGCAAGCTCCTCATTATCCACAAAGCGTGTGGGAGCTCGTGTATCTGGGGATACCCTCTGAAAGCCATACACCACTCAGTCATATCAACTCCCCTAGACCCCTGCTATCAATTCCACATAGGCCAGCTATTCCTCACTATTTCTTGGCCCCAAAGCCCTCTACACATACATAATAATTTAGATCAACATTTGAAGAACTGAGCAATGTCTGCTATGATTACCTCAAAGGCTGTTGTTAGGGGTATATGGACATCTTTAGGATTATTTATATGGGAAATGGAGGTGGGAGAACATGGTGGGGGGGAGAATCATACCACATAGCTCTTGCCTCCAATACCTGTCTCCAGATGAAATCGTTATAATGAACATCAACGACATAATTGAAGGGCAAATGAAAAGTCACAGAAGCACATTACAAATTGAAGGAGGGTTGGGGTATGCAAGGAAGTAGGGTAGTCCCTCTGGTGATAGTAAGGCATGTAGGAGCCGATAAGGCATATAGAAGCCACAGGTCTTTTTTCTTTTAAGCACAAGCACACTGAGCTTCCTCCTCTGCTACTAGGATCTCCTGGAGTTACTGTCCACCCACCGGCAACACCAAGAGTGAGTCCTGAATGCTTGGAATCCTCCAGGTTCAGCCTAGAGATGCCTGGCTTCCTCTTCACTGAATGCACTCGACCCTCTGCTTGCACACAGGACAAGTATTTTCATTTGCTTAATTATTTTGTGGATTATTTCCTCCACAAAGTTCTCCTCTGAGCACAGGATCTGGCAGCTTTTCCAAGCTAGAAAAGCTCTGAGTACTTGACTTTTGATGGCCTGTTGGCCGTGCACCTCCCTCCTTCGGCTCAGAGGAGGCTCTGCAGGGGATGAATTTTTTTAGTCACAGCCCTCACAAAGACCTCTATGAAGGTGTGGAAGAATTGTCAACCGAATCACCAAAGGGTTCACCCATATGTGCTGATGAAATCTCAGCTCCCTTTAGTATTGACAGAAGTATTGCTTTCTTCACTATTAGATTGTCTCTATGTCTTCCCATATCCATGCAGTCTTTGATTATTAGAAGGTCTTAAAAAGAATTTGCTTAGTGGAATGCCAGAAGTAGAAGCCTGATTAAATCTTTGTTGATGACTTTTAATGTCAGGCTCCATGAAGTGGAGCTTAATCACCTTTGGAGCAATTTTGTTACTCCATCCTCTATAGGTTAGCAGAGCCTGAGGCCACAGTTGTGTCACAGCTTGTTGCTACAATGTGGCTAGGGAGTGGGTCAGAAGCTATGCCCTCTTTAGATCCTTGACCCTAGACATCTACCTGGGATACTTTCTGGACAGGTCTCTCCATCAGAGGGATAGGCTGGAAAACCATAATGTCGGGGAACTGGAGAAATCTTCTAGTTTTCAAAAAATACAGGTGAAATCTGGATTAAAGTGAACATGAAGGGCGGCCATGGGATACAGGGTTAAGAAGGTTTCAGGAGATGAAGGTTATGTTAGGTCAGGAAGCTATCTGCAGCCTCAGTGATTATGAAGAGTGGGGGACTAATATGCTCAGATTGACTATGCTTGTATTCTCTTCTATTGGACTGACTGCCTGGAGTCACTGGGTAGCTATGGGTGCCAGGCAGTGGGGGAAAAGAAGACACAGAAAGGAGCCAAAGGCCATGTTTTGCCAGTCTTCTCTTAGCTTGCATAGTCTGCTGATCTGTTTGCCCACAATCAGATGATAAAACCTAGGCCTTCGAGGTCAAAAAGTGAGGGTGCTAATATAGTTACTCCCAGGATATATCTATGGTGGCTTGGGGCTGCTACCAAGGTTCTACCTCTATCTACTCCCATTATCCCCCAGGGCCCAATGTGTATAAGGAACAAACACTCACATTAACATCAAGAAAGTGGGCATACTCCCAACCAAAGGAGCCCTCTGGTAGAGTCCGGAGTTTGTTCAAGTCCAGGGTAGAGAGGTGGATCCGAGGCCGCTCCCTGTGGGGCAGAGGAGAAGATTCAGGAGCTAGAATGGGTGAATTAAGGGGTGGATAAGATTACCAGACATGAGTGACACATAGAAAGCTTATGTGAAATGGACAGCTAGATTAGGCCTTAGAAGAGGATGAATCAGATAGAACTGGAATGGTAGGAAAGCCACAATCCATACACATTTATTGAGCTACTCTGTGCAAGGCACTTTATTAAGAGATGTCAAGGGATGCAAAAGAAGTTTGGGATACTGTCCCTACCCTCAAGAAACTTTTGTGGAAAAAAGGGTGCAAACATGAAAAGATAATTATCAATAGGATGCAGCAGTAGAAAGAGTTTTGGAGTCAGGAAAGAGTCAGATTTCACTTCCTACACTTATTAGGTACATGACTACGAGCTCCCTTTTCCTCATCTGTAAAATGAGAATCACAGCACTGGCAGCAGCTACTTCACAGGGTGGCTATGAGGATCCAATGAGACCATGTGTGCAAATCTTGACTTACTCTACAAAGGTCAGCCATCATAATTATGTCAAGGCAGCATATTTTAAACACAAAATTAGTGGTACTAACAGTTAGTACTCAAGAAGTTCAGAGAAGGGAAAAGAGAGCTCACTATGGCTGGGGTAGTCAGGAAAAATTTCAGGGAGAAGGCATGACTTTAGCTGAGACTTGAGGGATATAAGAATAACTGGAAAGGAGAGTGAAGAGCATTCCAAGAAATGGGAATAGTAGGGCTAAAGAAAGGTTGTGTAAGAAGTAACAGAAAATAAGTTTGGTTTTCCATGATAAAGAATCAAGATTTTATGCTGTAGGCAGTGTTTCATAGAGCAATACCTTCTGTAAGGTTCAAGACAGGGGCAAAGCTAGAAGAGACCAGAGAAGTCATCTCATTCACACCCCTTCATTTTACAGATGAGGAACTGAGGCCAAGAAAGGCTAAGTGACTTGCCCAGGATCACATGGCTAGTAAGTGACTAGGGCAGGATTTGAACTTGACTTCAAGTCTTCCTGACTTCAAGTCCAATACTTTATCCGCTACAACATTTTGCTTTGGTTGAGGAATGTCAGAATCCTCATTCTATTCCCATTCCCAACCCCCCCAATTAAGTAAGACCCATCCCAAGCCCAAGGTAGGACCTACTGCAGGATCTGGGCACCCTCGGGGTCCCTCCTCATCCGGTCCCTTAGTGCCTGCAGAGCTTGGTGTCCTGTGGTCTCACCCAGAACAGCAACCATGTCTGAAAGGACAGAAATGAGATATGTGGAAAGAATGGGGGGAATCTCTTGACCAATTCAAAATGATGATGCGTCGTTCTCCCAAACATTTATGTACTAGGTACTAAGGATATAAAGATGAAAAATGATACTGATTCTGAGTTCAAGAAACTTAATAGAAGCATTAAGATAAGTATATAAAAAAGTATAAGGCAGATTAGGATTAAGTGAAAAGGAGGAAAAATGCAAAGTGATATGAGAATTTTGAGGATGGAAATATCATTTTCAGGTAGGAGAGGATAGGATGGCATTCAAGGAAGGAATTTCATTCATTCATAGAGGAAACAGTCCCCGAGATGAGCCTTAAAAGGTGCAAAGAATTTTAACAGGTAGAAAGAGGTTCGTGGATAGGCTGTATTTATGGAGGTGAATCTTTCCCGAAGACCTAAAATATAGTGTGGTAGAAAGAGCACTAAGCTAAAAACCAAGGGTCCTGGATGTGCCACTGGTTCCTGGCATGGCTTTGGGTCAGGAACTTCACTTGGGCCTCAAATTTCCTCATTTTTAAAATAAGGAGATTGAGTTAGATGATCTCTAAGGAGCCTCCCAGTTCTTGAATTGTATAATTCAATCCATATTAAGTGTTGGAAAGAACTTACACACTGAAGGTCATTGGTTGGGAGTCAGCAGGGCAGGATGGTTAAAGAAGGTTAGAACTGGAAGGAACTTAAGAAGTCATCTCAACCAACCCCCTCATTTTACAGATAAGGGCCGGCAAGCAGGATACTAAAAACAGACAAGGGAGGTGTGACCTGCCAAGGACCTTGGTGATCATCTAATAGCAGGGTGTGGTGGAAAAAGCAGCGAACCTGCCAGCACACATTCAGAACTCATAAAATTTCAACTACAAAACAAAATTTACAAAAACAAAAGACTTAAATAATTAAAAAGATGTTCAATGTTCATGGCTGGGACAAGCCAATATAATAAAAACAATACCACCCAAATTACTCTCCAAATTTAATACTCTATCAAATTATAAAAGGCTACTTTACAGAATTAGACACAATAATAACAAAGTTCATGGAGTAATAACTGGAAAAAAATAGTAAGAGATTTAATAGTAATGTAATAGCAATAATGAAAATAGTAGGAAGGAGGGGCAGCTTGGTGTTATCAAATCTTAAACTAGAGTATAAAGCAGTAATTACCAAAATTACCTGGTATCTGATAGAAAACAGAAATATAAGATCATTAAATTAGATTAGATAAGCAATATCTAGATATAAATGTGTAGAGAGACATCTAGTGCTCAATAAATCCAGGAACACAATTTAGAGAAAACAGTCTGGTGAAAAATGAATTTACGTCAACATGTTATGCTTTATACAACAATAAGTTCCAAATGGATAAACTGTATAAATAATCACACTATTAAAAAATAAGAGAATAGGTTATATCTTTCACAACTACAAACAGGAGAAAAAACTACAGTCAGACATGGCATAAAAAGGATCACAAAAGATAAAATGGACAATTTTGAATAGAAAAAGTGTAAAAGTTTTTGCACAAAAAAAATCAGTGCAGCCCAAATTAGAAAAAAAAAACCCCAACATACAAATTGGGGGGTGGAAATCTTTATATTAAGTAAATGGTTAAAAATATGGCATCCAAAATGCAAATTGAAACAAACAAGTATTTCCCAAGTGGCTAAAGAATATGAACCAACAATTCTCAGAAGCAGGTCTTGCAAACTATTAATTATATTAAAAAGTCCTCAGAATAAATAGAGAAATGTAAATTAAAGCCCTAAGGCATCAGGTCATACCCATCAAAGAGCCAAGATGCTAAAAGATTGGAAAGAGAATTATTTATTGATAGGGCTGTAGGGAAAACATATTAATTCACTGGTTGTCAAACTGTGAATTGGTTTAGCCATTCTGGAAAACAATTTGGAACTAGGCAAGAAAAGTTACTAAGCTGTTTATACCTTTTGACCTGGAGATTCCATTATCAGCCTATGTCTCAAAGAGGGTACAAACAATAAGAAAAGACCCAGATATACAAAAATGTTCATAGCAGCATTATTCATTATAACAAAAATATGGAAACAAAATATGTAACCAATGATTGGAAAGCGGCTGAACAAATTGTGGCATATAAATATATTATGTCATAGAGAATTACAAATTTGAATTCAGGGGAAAATGTAAAGACTTATGAAATTATACAGAGCAGAGAAAGCATAATCAAAAGAAAATAAATTCAGTAACTACAACAATGCAAATAAAGTCAATAAGGAGAGGTAACAACACTATGGTGAATCATGCCAATCAATGTTAGTACCACAGTATTAAAATTTAAGAACTCATTCCTACAAACATCCACTAAATGGTTTCAGGGGGATTGTTCATTGTAAGAGAGCATTTTGAGGTCTAAATATATAATCCTATGATAAAGTGTCCTGGGTCAAAACAAAATGTACCAGTACACTTTAAAAATTCATTAGACTGTAATTCAAAGGTTCCAGATCTGGCACCACTTTGCCCTAAATTGCTTTTTCTTGTCTGAATCTCTATAAAATGAGGTTGTTATAAGTGACTTCTTTTTCTCTTTGTGCTCTAAAGGTAGCATTAGATGGGACCTAGTAGCACCCTGGATAGTCATTAGAGCAGGGTGCTGGAGAGCACAATAATAAACACACCAAACAGTAGTAACCTGCTAGAACTCTGGCAATTAAGTAGTGGCAGAGAACTGTTGTGGGAGTTAGGTGACCTGGGTCCTGTCAATCCCTGAGAATCCCTAAGCTACCCTAATCATTTCATTGGTCTGACTTTTTGTACAAGTTGACATTACTAACTAATCCAAGCTGTGCCACTGACTGACTACGTGGCTATTTTGAGTAGTCACTTTCTCCTTCTGGACCTCAGTATGATCTTTTAGAAAATGACAAGACTGGGTTAGATGATTTCTAAGACCCTAATTTTGGCCTAAAGGTTCACCTCATCAATATAATATATATAATCTCAACTGTCTTCCTTATCCTTCTTCCCAACTAAGAATAAACAGTTTTAAGTATTGAGATTATATGGGTTTAATTATCAAAATGGACAAATGGATTTCTGTGGTTAGTTAGGCAAGCCTGTGTAGAGGAAACTAAAACAGTGGTCTCATAAAACACAGCTCTATAATGAGCACTGGACAGTGAATCACGAGACCTGGGTTCTGGTTCCAGCTCTTCTACTTATTTACTGTATGGCACTGAGGAAACACCACTTCCCCTTCTTTCTAGGTCTGTTTTTTTCATCTGTAAAACAGGGACATAAAACGTTCCCATCCCGTTCAAATGGTGTTAGGGTTCTATCCAGTTCAAGTTACCGGATGGGGTCAGGTGGGTACTTGGGGTAAGTATTAGCAGGGCAGAAGGCTGGCTAGCAGGATATTAAACAAGGCAAAAGTTATCTGACAGTACCCTACACTATAAGTTTGGAAACTTGAAATTTGGTGCTGATTTTGCCATGCACTGAAAATGTCACCTTAGGCATAGTATTTCTCAAATCTGGGTCTGTTTCCTCTTTTGTAAAATGAGATGTCTAAGGTCTCCTCAAGCTCTAAAGTAGGAAGGAACCTCACAATGAAGGACACTGAATGGGGTTTGGAAGCTATTTAGACCTAGGGGATGAACAAGTAAGCAAAGTAGAAGGGGTACAGAGGTCACAGAATCAGAATAGGCCTTTCAGGTCATTTGAGACCAACCTTCTAATTTTATAGACTTTATTCTGGAGAACAAGATATTAAACAGACCACAGCAGCCTGGCCAGGCTTTAGTGACCATGAGTGGTAGAAAACTCTTCGAATTGTGAATCAACAGATTTGATCTCTACAGCTCTGGCTCAGCCACTGATTCTATTTTTAATCACCTTGGGCAACCTGGAATAGCGGTAAAAGAATCAGATTTGGAAGCAGAAAACTAGGATTCAAATCATGGCTCTGCTCCTAAGGCCCTTAAATATTTGGGTTCTTGTCTAACTTTGAGCAAGTTCATTCTATTTCTCTGGGTCTGACTTTTCTGTAAAATGAGATTAGCCTAGAAGATTTCCGAATCCCCTTCCAGGTCTACGGGTGGGGCCTAAGAGGAGAGAAAGGCCATTTGGAACAGGATCAAACGTGGGGCTTTGGTTGAGAGAGGGAGAGGGTGGAGAAAGGAAGACCGGGATCCCGGCCAGGCACTAGTGATCATCGAGTGGCAAAGTGACCCTGCAGGGGTCATGAACGGGGCATCGGGAGGTTTCCTCCTGGCTCTGCCCCTGACCCCACAGGTCACCTAGCTATCGACTAGATTCCCCGTCTCTGGACCTAATCTCCCCAATGAAGGTACTGGATTAACTTATCTTTAAATAAGAATCTGCTCGACCCCTCCCCAGGCTCAGGGTCAGCAGGGTAAGGGTCAAGGCATTGTGAAAAAGTGGGGGAAAGGGCCCCTCTTTTGGAATCGGAGGAGCTGGGTTTGAATGCCAGGTGTCACTTTACTGCCTGTGCAACCTCGGGGAAGCCCCTTAGCCTCTGAGGCTCCGTTTCCTCCTCTGTGCAATGACATGGGTGGACGCGACGACCTCCGCGGTCCCCTGTCGCGCCGGGAAGGCTCACCGTGGCGGTAGGGGTCATACAGCGCCATGCAGGCGGCCCCAGCCGCCAGCAGCGCTTTCTGGAGCGGGCTGGTGGGTATGTGGCCTGGGTAGAGCAGGCCCAGGTCCGTACTGCGGCCGCCCGGGAGTGCCGCCGAGTCGGAAGCGGTGCGACGGGGGCCTAGCTGGGGTCGAGGCAGTAGGCCGGAGAGCCGAGACAGGCGGAGCAGCGTCGCCATGGCAGCGGCCCCTAAAGGAAGAAAGGGCAAAGTTAATCCTCCGCCCAACCAGCTGCGACGGAATCGCGCAGAGGCCAAAATTAGTGCGATCGCGCTCGCCGGCTACCCACTATCTTGTTTTCTTAAGGCTCTCCCGACCCTTCAGAGAGCCACATTCACCTTTCTCCCCTATTCTACTACCATAAGCCTGGAGGGAGGTGCACTCTTCGCAGCAAATGGCTCTTGTTACCTCCAGATTGAACCAGTTCTATTCTCGGCTCCTGAGTCATGTTTCTCTCCGGGACGGTAAGAATGTACCACTTCCGGCCTGGGAGTATGGCGACGCCTAGCGAGGGACCCCATTTATTTCCTTGACGCTGGTTTTGTCATTTCCGTTGGTCTCTCCATGGAATGCAAGCGTGGGCTTCATGGGTTCGACTGGCCTTCATGGGCTCTTCGCGGTCTACAAGCCACCCGGGTTGAACTGGAAACATCTGCGAAACACTGTGGAGTTTCAGCTCCTGAAGGGTGAACGACTCCGTTCCCTGGCCCTTGTACCCCTCCCGGTCCCTTTCCTTTCCTCCACGATCTGCTCAATGCACTAATTTTACTTACTGCTACGAAAGCTTACTAAGAGCCAACTACGGGTCAGTCCTGTTGTGCAAGCTTGGATAAATCACTCCCCCTCTTTGTTGCAGTTGCTTCATCTCTAAAACGAGCAGGCTGCACTAGATGATCTCTGAGGCCCTGTCTTTGCATCCTTTTCCCCAGCCCACCCCCTCCAGGTAACGGGACCTCTCCTCCTTCCTCTAATAGGGAGAGATTTATTTATGGCAGCCCACTCTTTCTCATTGCAGTAAGCATGCTTTGGAGACATCTGCTTAGCACAGTGACCGGCACGTAGTAAACTCTTAATAGTCTCATCTCTCTCTATTTTCCTGGTTTTCTTCTTTCCTTGCCCCTACCAGGGCCCTCTCCTCTCCTTATCCGAGATTCCCCCAACCGCCTCCTTTCCAGAGCCTTAGATTTTAAGATCATATTTAGAACTGGTAGGAACTTTAGATAGCAGACGTCTGATAAGCCAATCTCCCCATCCCGTATTTTAGAGACGAGGAAACAATTCCACAGGGATTCTTTCGTATTCCTTCCCTTAGAGCTAACATTTATACAAGTTGTCTTAAAGTTTGCGTATTGCTTTCTCACAACAACCCTGTGAGGTACATGCTGTTAATCCCCATATTACAGAGGAAGAAACTTCAGAAGGCAGAAGTTAAATGACTTGGCCAGGATCTTACAGCTAGTAAGTGTCCGAGGGAGGATTCAAACTTAAGGCTTCTGACTCCGAGTCTAGCAGTCTGCCCACTGGGCCACTTAAGTTGTGTATGACCTCACCTCTGGCTTCCCCCACTGAGAACTGTTCTTGGTCTCTGAATTAGCTCTTAAAGGTCATCATTTTTCCTTTTCCGAAAACAGGGACTTGATATTTGAAGTGGCTTCGCCAAGGTTAGGAGAATAGCCCCAGACCCAGAGCCAGTCCACACCATGTCATCTTTTTTATTTTCCTCTGCTCCCTCATACTATCTACTCATCTTCCAGGTCTCAACTCACAGATGCAATATACCCCTCAAGAGCACGTCCGATTCCTGCTTGGGCCCGTGGAAGGAAGTGAAGGGAAGGAACTGACCCTCACAGCCACTAGTGTTCCAGTCCTTTCTGGGCACCCTTTAGGTGAGATGATTCTGGGGCTTGTCAGTGGGGTCACCTCCATAAAGCAGGCAAGGAATGCAATTCAGTTCAATGCAACAAGTATTTAAGTGCCTACCAGGGAACCATGACAGGGGGTGGGGGGTGGGGGGGCATTTATTTATTTGTTTGTTTTTAACATGTAAAATTTTTTTTGAGTTATGAATTCCCTCCCTCCTGCTTCTCCTCCACCTATTGAAAAGGCAAGCAATATATCAGTTATACATGTGAAGACCATAACAGTTATTGGTGATAAGAATTTTTAAAAATGAAAGGTTCTGTCCTCAAGGAGCTTACATCCTAAGGTAGAAGTTCTTAACCTTTTTTTGTGTCATGGACTCCTTTGGTAATTTGTTGAAACTGATAGACCACATCTCAGAATAGGTTTTTAAATGCATAATACAAAATAGATTAGATTACAAAGAAAACCAATTGTATTAAATTAAGGCTGTACTTTTTTCCTGTTAAAGTTCACAGACCCCCTGAAATCTCTCCACAGAGTCCTTGGGCATCCATGGATCTCAGGAAGGCACTAGTAGGTGGGGGTGTTAAGGAAGGTAAAAAGGTGGCACTTGAATTGAGTCTTTAAGGCGTCTAAAGCACCTAAGAGGCTGAGATAATGATGGAGTGAATTTCAGAGAGTGCACTGGGCAGAGAGGCTGGCATTTGATGATGGGGAATAGCCAATGAAAAGCACAGAGATGGGAGATAAGAATACCATGTATATGGAACAGTAATTTGACCAGTATGCCTGGACCATAGTGTGTGTGTTGGGGGGGGGATAATGTATAAGAGAGTCAGGTTGCAAAGAGCTTTAGGAGATAAATAGAAGAGTTTATATTGAGTTCATGTTCTATATGAATAACATATATTTACATATGATTATATGTAGTGCAAAAGGCTAGGCTAGAATCTTTAGGAGCCAGTAAGGGATGAATGAAAGGATTGCCTTGGAGCAGTAATGGCCCCATTGAGGTTGTATAGTATAAATTTATAGTGGATACGTGGTTTCAGGAGCACCATCATTATCCAAGACCGCAATAATGGAGTAAATGGTTGGAGGATAATTGCCAAAGGCTGTAGGATAAGGAGGATCCAAAGTCTAAGATTTGTAGCTACAACGGACTTTAGATATACCTAGATTTGTTTGTAGATTAAGACCCAAAGAGATTAAAATGACTTACTGTTAGGTTATACAAAAAGAAAATGACAGAATTCAGTGTTTGCACTGAAGTCCTCTGACTTGAAGTCTCTCGATCAGTCCCTTGACTGCTCCAAGATAAGTAAATAGAAAATAAGCACAATAATACACAGGAAAATTCTGATGATGCCAGTTCGTTTATTTTGGACCTGCTGGCTGCATCTACACTGTTCCTCTCATCCTTAGAACAGCAGCTGGTAAACTGTAGTTCTCAGGCCAAATCTAGCGCGCTACCTGTTTGTATATGGCCTGTGAGCTAAGAATGGTTTTGACATTTTTATAACAACTTTTAAATTATCAAAACCATTTTTAGCCATAAAAAAACAGGCACAGCCATAGTTTACCATCCCCTGCCTAGAAGTACAAGCATTGCATGCTGCTTTATCACTTCGCATGAAATACTCAGTTGCCCTGCAGGTAGATCCAGGGACACTTATTAAGGTGGGTCTGGACATGGAGCATAGCATCCTGACTTGAGTCATATTTTCAGTCTTCTCAGAGCCTTTCGTTCCAATCATTGCAATCATGTGGGCAGATGACAGGGTTTATGCCATCCCTTAATAGAAATGTTTTCTCTTTGAGGCCAGAGTTAGTTTGGGAATCTTTTGTTGCACAAGGAAAATTCTCTTGACTATATTTTTTCTTTCCTACTTGTGATATGCTTAGAAGCAGTCATAGCTCAGTTCCGTCCCCAGACTCAAGGAAATAATTATGTCTTCAGGGAGGGGAAAACAGACTTTTCATGTCCAGCACTAACAGGACATGTAGCCAAAACTGTTCCTGGTTTGGATTTCTCTGGAGCAAAATATTTCAAGCAAATAAGTCTTGAAAACCAGAGTCACTGACTGAAGTGAAACTATGTGATCCTGCCCCTGTCCCAAACCCAGGCTTATTTCCAGAATCTTCAGTGCTCTCCGAAGAGTTCTTTCTTCTTGGGCCCCAGAGATGCTATTGCCACATTACTCCAGGCACCTCACATATCTCATTTCTTTCCAGTGAGAGGGCCAAATTACAGGAGTGTGAAGGTGGGCGTCGGGCACGGCTGGATGTCAAGTCATCTGGAGTGCAGGGTAGGCAGGACCGGTATGCTTTGGATTGAATGGCTTTTGCATGAGAGCAGGGTGGCTTCTTGGAGGGTGGGATTAACAAGTGATAAATGCCCTGTGGAAGAGGGCAGGACAGAAGAGAATAGTACCTATCCCTCCCACCCCCCACCAAAGAAGTGTGAAATTTTTTGTCAAGGCCAAAAAAAGTTCCTCTGAGAATCTTTCCTACAGTCATTCCTTGTTTGTTGCTCTGCTATTCTAATTACCCTCCCTGACCCTCTCTTGGCCCAGGTCTTTGATATACTAGGGTAGAGGTTATAGGTCAGTGAGGGTAGTTAAAACTTTGGGCCTTGTCCCAGGGCCAGGAGTCAGGAAATACAAGATCACATTTATTATGTGTGAACTTGTGGTTCTGGTCCTGTGGGTAGGCATTTGGACATATCTGTCGTCAGAAACCACAGTGCCCAGTTCAGGACAAGAGCCAGCTGGCAGCTGCTTCTGTGCTGTCGGTGGCTGTGGAGTCAGTGACCACATCCTTCGGATGGGTCCAGTCACAGTCACCCCTTTGTATTATTCCTGCATTTCTCTCAACCCCCCAGTCCCCAGTAGGACTCAGGCTGGACAGACATGATCTCATTTTGCTGTCCTTTTTTCTTCACTCTACAAGAGGGATTAGGGGAAATTTTCTCCTTCAACCAGAGCAAGAAACTGAGGCCAGAACTTGCTCAGAGAAATCCTATGCCAGAATCTTATATGCTTGCTGCCCTTCTGTGATAGACAAAGAGTGTTAAGAGAACAGGGCAGAAAATCAAGGCAGGATCAGAGAACCCCTGATAAGATAGCAACCCTCAGGCATGAAGGACCTAGGGAGATGGAGATAAATTGTCGAATTGGTATCTTTCAGTGCTCGGTGTGGGACGTGGAAACAAGCTGCTCACAGACATCTACAATGCCCATCTCACCAAGGTACTTGTTGGGAGTGCTCAGCTCTAGTGATTAGCTTTGTGGCCTCTGGCCTTGAATGAATCATTTAACCCCTGAGTCTCAGTTTCTTCTTGTAAAATGGGCAGAGATCATAATTCCTGTTCTGCCAAACCTCACATGGTTGCTGTGAAAATCTGCAAAGGCAATGTATTACGAAATTCCTTGTAAAGTATAAGGGGGACACAAAGGTGAGGGTTTATTGTTTTTCTTCCCCCAAGGCCCGAACCTCAGCCTACAGCAACTGAATGGGTCTCATGGCCTCTCATCTACACCTGGAATCAGGATTTCATCTGGCCTCTGGAGAATAAATGAATTAAGTAATATTTATACAGTACTTGTAGTGTGAAAGGCCATGTGGTTGGCATTGTAAGGACTACAAAACAGCAGAAGACACAGAACCTTAAGAACCTAAACGTCATTTATTTATTCATTCAAAGATTACTTACTCAGCACCTGCTATGGATAAGGCACATATAGGTGAAAAGTTAAGTAATACTGAAAAAGATGGCAAGGCAGTGCAGGGTGTGTGGGGTCCATCATGGTCCATCGAGTGGAACAGAGAAGCCCTGCTGATGTTTGGAGCAGGGATGGAGAGGTCACTGTACCTTAGGAAGGGCTCGTGGAAAGAAGTGGGGTGAGCTGGAACTTAAAGGATAGGGGGGAAGAAATTTAGAAGGGAGATTATTAAAGGCTAAAGGAGGAGGGGAAGTTGGGCCCTAAAAGTGTGGAGGATCACTTTCATAGGGCTTAAATCTCTTCCTAGCCCTGATTTTATTTCCCACCCGAGAATGGTGCTCCTTGGAAACTAAGCCCCAGCAGGCAGGCAGAGGAGCACCAGAAGAACTGGTCAGGAGCAAAGAGCACACGCTTTTGAGGGAGGGGACTGCCCTCGCTGCTGCTCCATACCCCACCAGCTGTGGGCACACAGTAAATATTCATTGGATGGCCTGCTTCGCTGTCCCTTGGCTTTGTGTCATTCGGTCAGCATGGCTGTGACTATCTAGAGTGCTCCAGAGTTCAGTAAGCTGCTTCCATGCGATTCCATTGAGAGAGCAGGAAAATTGATGCTCCCCATCCCCCTTCTCAAAGGACTACACAGTTCGTGGGCTCCTGGGCAAAGCCACGGATGACTTCTCTGATGAAGGCAGGCTGATTGAAAAGACAACTTATGGTAAGAGCACATGAAAGTCCAGGGACCAGGGAAGGCACTCGGGGCTGCTGTTTGTGTGATGTCTCCAGGCCTTCTCCAAGGACTCCAAGGCTTTGACTACAAAATCTCTCTGAAGTTAATTCCTGAGCTAGTGCTCAGTACAGGAGGTCAAGCATAGCTTGGGGCTTTAGCAAGCAAATTCCTGTGATAGAAGAAATAACCCTGAATTTGGACTCTGAGGACCCAGGTTCCAAAGTCTTGACTGACTGTAGTATTTGCCACCTGTGTGACCTTGAATAAGTCACCTGAAACCTCCCTGGGCCTTGGTTCTCTTATCTTCAAACTGGGAGAGCTGGATCAGATCCCCTCTAGCTCTAAAGTCTTTGAACCGGTGCCCCTGCAGAGCCTTCAAGGCATGGCTGGCAGCCATGGCAAAAGTCAAGGAGGCAGACTTTGGTGCAATATAAGAGAACTTTCTAATAAGCAAGAATCACCTGACAACGAAGCAGCATGCTTTGTGAGCTTTCTGTCACTCAAAATGTTCAGGTGGAAGCTGGAAACCCACCTCTCGCAGAGCTGTATTCCTGCATTGACCTCGTAGCTGTCTGCATCCCTGAGGTCCTCTGTCACTTTACGGTTCTAGGAGTCTGAAATGCTTTTGTTCAGCCCCTGGCAGGACTGCTCCTCAGCCAAGCAGTGGTCTGAATTCTTGTATCCTGAGCAGACCGCTCTTGGACTGGCCCAGTGATTTACCCTTGGTTGGTGGCAGCAGATAGATTTGTCTCCACTTAGTTCCCCCATGGTCTGAGGCTCATTTGTTGCCAGAAGCTTTGATATGAAGGTACAGGACTAGGGCAGATCAAACTGTGGGCTCTCCCACAGTGTGTTTATCCACATAAAATTAGGTTAAAATGAATTTTAAAATGAGAGAGAAATCACCTTAGGGTAACAAGGAACCTGAGGAGGCATGTAGGTGGAATTCGGGTAGCCTTATTCATTCACCTTGGTGATGATGACATAATTTAATGGCAGGGGAGGAGGGGGGTAAATATGCTAGGCCTTTTTTAGCATCAGCTGGAGAGCCCCTCCTCTCTGCTGGCCGATGCTCTGCATCCCAAGGCTATCATTCCATTTGCCTTGGGTCAGGGGGAAGGAATCACTGTTAATGGCCTAGTGCCATTAAGTGCTGGGGCCGCAGCTCCCAATGGGTGAGCTGTGTGGGAAGGTGTGAGCATCCCAAGAATGTGCCAGAGGGCTGGTGTGGGCTCAGCAGAGTCTGTTCCTGAGGGCCAACTCTTCCCTTGCCCTTGGTGCATGCCCACTCCAGAGGGTGGAGAGAGAAATAGAAGGCGGAGATTTGAGAAGATATGAAGAGACTGTGGGCTGAGCAGGGTGAGGGTAGCTTCTCTTTGCCCCACCCCATGCAGGTGGTTCTGCTCTAATCTCCATTGGCTTTCCCAGATCATGTGACCCCAGAGAAGCTCAGCAGAATCCTGGCAGTCATCCAAGGCTCCCATCAGAAGGCACTGGTAATGTAAGTGTCAAGACTGGACTGCCTGCCCTCACCCTTTCCCACTGGAGGCAATAAATGAGAAGCTGGAATCTAGTATGTAACTAGTACCCATGTTGTGTTGGCTACAGTTCTTATCTTGGGCTGACTTTCCTGTCTGTTCTCTGAAGCCTCTCGGGGAAGTCACCCAGATCTTCTCTCTATCAGATTTCTCACACTGCTATTCCCAGGACTCTCCCACTCTCCTCCAGGTCTGGTACCCCTGGTCCTCTCTCTCAGCAGATGATCATGCTTCTTCCTTTTTGCTGAAAAGTCTTAGGTGCTGACATCATTCCTTGAAAAGAGTCTTCTTCCTTTTAAAAAATTTAATATGTTTTATTCTGAACTTAAATGCAAAAAAAAGTATTTTCATACATACAACAGAACACACCAAAAGGATTGTATAGAAACTATGAATACCCATTCAAACCACAGTTGTCCTGCTTATCTGTGCTTCTTTCTCTTCTATACATTTTTTACAAAATTACAATGTCCCCTGCCTTTTTTCTTGCCTCACTATTGCTACCCCCTCCCCTGTCCAGACCCACCTTCCAAATAAAAACCAAGAAAGAAAAAAACCCATTTCACAACAAGTAAGTATAGTCAGGAAAAAGGAATGCACAATGGTGAAGTCCAGAAATGTATGTCTTGTTCATCACCTTGCATCTCGCAGTTCTCTGTCAGCAGGTACATAACATACCTTACCCTAGGTCCTCTGGGAGATGTTGTTGATCATTGATTGGTCAGAGTTCTTAAATCTTCCCAAGTTTGGTTTGTTTTTCTTTTTTTTATACTGTTTCTTTTCTTATATAAATTGTTTTCCAGACCTTCTTTCTCAGATTGTCCCCTATTCTTGCACAGTCAATCCCATCTTCTCCTGACTCCTCTGAGACCTTCCTTTTTTGCTTGTTATCTTGTATCTTACATCACTTCCTCTCCCCTAACGGTTTCCCTTCTGTCTACGTGGATGCTTAGATGACCCCTGTCCTCAACAAGAACAACAGCAAATCTTCTCAACCTCATTACTCCCTTGAACTCTCATTATTAATACCTCCTCTACTTCACTCATTCCCTTTCTAACATTTTCTAACATTTGTAAACGTTCCCTTTCGAACATTTCTCCCCACTACTGTTTTTGCAAAGTTACCAGTGAGCCGGGTGCATACCTGTTATATCTGCTACCAGGGAGGATTAGGATGGTGGATCTCTTGAGTTTGGGAGTTCTGAATTGCTCTTAGCTGTGGGCGAAGCTGATCAAGCGCCCCACAGTAAGTCCAGCATTACTGTGGTGAGATCTCTGGAGTAGGGGGACACTGAGATTGAAAACTGGTCAGAGCTCCTGTTCCTATTATAGTGGGATCTAACTCTGAGTAGTTCCTACACTTTCACCATGGGTAAGATGGGGAGACCCAGTCTTTAAAAAAAAAAGTTACGTCCTCACCACCAAATGTTTCAGTCCTCATCTTCCTTAACCTCTTACTCCTTTCTGTTAATTCCATGATGTTCCTTGGATTCTGCAGATCCTGATTGTCTACCCTTCTGACTTCTGCAATGGTCCTCTCACTGACCCCTAACCAAAGACATTGCACCCAGCTTCTGAGGTTGCCCCCCTTTCTCCACATTCTCTCCCTTAGTCATCTCATCTCTTCCCATGTTTTTAATTATCACTTCTGCACAGTGGACTCCCAAATCATACATCTACTAGATGTCCTGCCAACACCTTAGACTTAAATAAGCCCCAAAACAAATTACTTGTCTTCACTTCACCCCAAACCATCATTTTTGCTAATGGCACCACCACTATCTGTGTGTCTTGATAGCTTGGAAGTCGCAGATGACTTCCCCCCAAACTCCTACACCAAATTAGTTACCAAGTCCTGTAGTCTGGCTCTTGCAAATCTATCATCTTTCTGGTTGTTAGCCCTTTCTTGAAATTTCTTTGTATGTATTTATCTGCATACAAGTGAATCCCTTCCAGTAGAATATAAGCTCCCTGAGGGCAGAGACTATTTCCTTTCTTTTTTTTGCCTTTGTAGTCACAATGCCTCGTACATAGTATCCACTTAATAAATGTTCATTGAATTTCATGTCTGTTGTCTCATCTCCTTTCCCCCTACAACAACCAGAATGTTCTGTTATTGCAACAGGATCCTAATTGATCCTCCAGCTTCTGGATCTGATTCATGTTGTATACAATACTACATTAATCATCCCCAGAGACAGTTCTGATAATGTCACTCTCCTGCTCAGAAACCTTCACTGGCTCCCCACTGCCTATAGAGATAGTATCAGACTCAAATAGAAACAGATCCCTGTGCTGTATATTGACTTGGAGAACCACAAATGAACATTATCTATGTTATATTTTTATTTATTTTGTGAAACATTTTCCAAACACATTTAATCTGGTTTGAGCCGCTTAGGCATTTGCCAGGAATTTGACACCTCTGACCCATGGGAAAAACCAAGATTTCTCAGTATTCTGAGAATGAAAGTAATCCTGAGTATGAGAACTCAGGAAATACTTATATTCCCATATAGTAAGCCTTTAAACTACCTTTTCAACCATATCTCCCACTACTTCTCCTTTGTCCAAGCTGAAATAGTTTCTGTTCCCTAAATGTGCCATCTTTTTGTCTTTGCTCATTATTCTCTCTGCCTGAATGCTCACCTATCCAGTTTACCCTTTAAAGCCCAAGCCATTTTTTTAAGCCTTTCCTGATTTCCCTCCAGCCAGATGTGATCTCTCCCTCCATAGAATGAATTATATTTCATAAGAGGTATATGCCTTCTATGACACATCTTATATCATATTCTACCTTGTATTATTCTTAGTGACCTCATCTTATTCCCCTTGCTATATTATTGGCACTCCAAGGACAGGGATTTTATCTTTCATTTGTGTATCCTTAAAAGTGCCTTGTAGTTGCTAAATTGAATTGAATCTCCCTAGCCTTTCATGACATTAAATTCCTTTTGGTTAGGCAAGAAGGGCAAGGAACAGCTTTCAAGAGAACCCCATTTGGAGTCAGGAATGGAAGACACATCAATTTAATTCCAAGCTCTTTCATGAGGTGGTCATGGAAAATTGTCATCCTCTTCTCTAGGTATTCCAATCTCGACTTGAAGACTCAAGAGGCTTATGAAATGGCTGTGAAAGGGTTAATCCGGCCTATGGACAAGAGTCCAATGCTGATTACAGGAATCCGATGTCTCCAATTTGCACCTCCTGAATTTCTCTTAGGTAGGATTTGGGAGGGTGGAAAATCAGGACAGCATGAGAGTAGGAGAATGATAGGGCTCTCCTTCCATGCAGGTAACCTTAGGGTAACCCTGGAAGATAGTTCTCGATCTTTAGTGACAGTAACTCCCTTGTCAATAACCCCAGATGGTCTGAGCAGGGCTGTGAGGCCTCACAACATGGTCCTCTGCCATGACAGTTCATGCGGGCTCATAGGGTCTCCAGCGTCTTCCCACCCCCAGTGCTAGGACTTTGCCAGATAATAGCCTTTACAGAACAAATGCTCTCATATCTCATGCCAGAGCACTCTTTGATGCAGATTCTTAGCAAGCAAAGGTTATATTTAGAGGCTTGCTCCCAGAGTTGCATGGTGTTTCATGTTGTTGTCAAAGCTCCCCTAGTGAATTTCTCTTTCGCTTTGGCCTCATTCAGTTCCCTTCTTTCTTCCTGATCTGGATTGCTTTTCCTCTTCCCTGCTTTCTGCACTTATATCCTTGCTCAGGCTCCTTTCTTTTTAATTCTTTGTCTGTTGCCTTGGTACAGAGATTCAGTGCCTGCATGAGACCCAGCAGATGCTCCGTCGAGTGGTGCATGAGATTGGACTGGAACTGAAATCAGCCGCTGTCTGTACCCAGGTGCGCCGGACCCGAGATGGGGTCTTTACCCTGGAGGATGCCCTCCTGCGGACACAGTGGGACATGCACAACATTGAGAAATCAATCCAAAAAGTGGCACCCCGAGTAAAGGCAGAGCTAGAAAAGTGCCAAACGGGACCACTGTGCCATAGAGACCCTGTGGGACAACCTTCTTCCTAAAAGATCCAGGTCACAGGCAAACTCAAGTAAACTCTCCCCATGGACTAAGCAGAATGAGGCACAGAGCCTTAGGAAAGAACAGCAGGGGAGGGTGCTGAAATGGTGTGGGAGCTGGCAAATAACTGGATTGCAGGAGACAGACAAGGGAGATCCGTGGCCTGACTGAGGTTAGAGTTCATATACTGCCAGGAGGAAGACTTGGGAAACTTTAAAAATGATCCTTGTCTGTTCAGTAAGTAAAAGGCCCTGCCCCATGACTTTTGTATAAGGAAGTGAATTGGTGTTTTTGGTCTAGTGAACCTAGCTGAGAAGAGAGAAGGCGCCTCTGAAGCAGCATCCTGCGCTTGCCTCATTGAATCTGGTGGAGTCTGGCTGGTGTCAGAGGGAAAGTGGTGGTAGAGAGGTAGAGACTCCAGGATAAAGTAGTGAGAAGACAGAGACAGCAAAGGAGGAGGAACCACTATTCTTCAGTGTGTGTGCAGTTTTGAGAGGACACCTTCTAACCTGTCTTGAGAGGGAGGAGTCAGGAAGAACTGAGATTTTTTTGAAGAACTCAGAGCACATAATAGCTGGATTGCCCTGGCCTTTGGCACAGAGAGGGGAAACTGAGATATGGTTTTGTGGAAATCAAATAGAAACCAGGTCTTTATCTTCACTTCTTCCTTGATCCCTAAATCTCTAGGCAGGGTAGTTGTGGGGGAAAGATCACTGAACTTTGTGTCAGCAAACCTGAGTCTGAATCCCGGTTTTGCCATTTGCAAGCTAGATGACCATGGGCAAAATCACCTTACCTTTCTGAGCCTTAGTTTCCTCAACTAAAAGAATGATTGTGATATGCATTTCCTACCACACAGTTATTGTGAGGATCAAATGAGATTGTGTGTAAAGAATTCTGTAAACTTTTCAAGTGCTGTACGAGGGTCAGGTGCTACTGTCCAGCAGTAACCCAAGACCACTTTCTAACAGCTCCCAGCTTAGGATGGTGGATATCTGGGTGAAGGCTGAACAGCACAGGTGACTTTTTCTAAACCCTGTTTCAGAGGTCTGGGCATTGCTTTTTGACTTGTCACTTTACTTGAACTCAGTAAGGGCTCAGCCTCATATGTTTCCCTGGGGATGGGGCTAGTTTAGAGGTAAAAAGGAAGGTGATCACAGAGCTTGTTGTAATGTTGCCAAACAACCAAGAGATTGGGGATTAGAAAACCCTGCTAAGGAGGGGACTTTGAAATTCTAAATAGACAACTTTTCTCTGGCCTTCTCTCTTCATCTTTCCTCTCCCCAACCCCACCCCTCCACACTACTGTCTATATAGGTGTCACAGGCAGGTTTAGACTGTCAGAGTCTGGGCTAGTAAGGAGTTTCTAGCACCCTAGCCTTATAGGCAGGTATGGGGTCTGCCTAGTAGTAGTCGGGTCACAATGAATGGTAATAACCTTGCTGATAAACTATAAGCATCAGTTCCACCCATCATTACTCATACCACCCTTGCCCCCTCTAGAATGTATCCACCCCTTTTGTTAAGCAAACTAAGATTTTAGTTCTCTGGAAATATGTTCTACTTCCAACAAATACAAACTCCCATAAAATCTAAATGGATTATCAAGTCTGATACTGCCTTCTGGCCTTGATTCTCCCTGCCCAACTTGGGCTCAGGGATGGGTTAGGAGTGTTCAGTTCTTCTCACTTCTTCATTTCTATTCTGCCAGGATAGCTAATTTTTAGAAAGCTCCATTTCAAGTATATCCTTCACCTTTCATATGAGTATTTAAAAATTCTTGCTAAATAGAATTGAGTTTCTGCTCCTTTGTGTACCACAGCCTAGATTTCTTTGAGTACCTACCATTCATTCACCCCTGCACGTTTAAAGAATGCTTTCTTTGTACACAGCACTTGACTGGATTGATGATGTTCAGATAAGACATATCCTGGAGCTTACAGTCTTAATTTATACAATACATACATGAAAGTATAGTAAGAGAAGGACCAAGTACTGTGATTTCGTTGGAGGGAAATTTTGATTTCAGGGTACCTTTATGCTTAGCACTGTGCTAGCTACTATAATTACATAAGAAATACAAGACGCAATCCTAGCCTTTGACATATAGTTCTTTCCTGTCATACATCTCTGCTTGTTCATTTACCTCACAACCTCAGGTCCTTTTTTCCTCTGACTATGCTTTAAGACTTCCACTTTTGTTTTTCTTCACCCTCCACCCTAATCTTGGCTCTTAAGGTAGCATTTTTTCTGGCCCAATTTTTATGGGTGTTCTATAAATGCTTATTAATTTAAGGCCCCACATAAAGAAAACAGGTACCCCCAGGGCCCGCAGTCTGCATAGCATTCACACAAAATAGCATGCCCTTGATGGATTATACTGTTGTGTCCTCTCAAAATTCTCTTTCCTGGCCCCTCAGCTAAACAGTAGTTGCTGCATATTTCACCCAAGGAAAGAAATGAAGGGCAGCAAGGAGCTCTTCCTTGTCTCTAGTGACAGGTAGGTCACAGTGAAGTGGTTTCAGTATTAGCAGGTAGGATTGATGTTAGTCATCATTAAGAATTTCCTGTTTGTGTTGTGAGATAGATAATGGTATGCATTGAAGGGAGGTGACAGGATCATCCATGCAGGAGATGGTTGACCAAAAGTACCATCTTAAGGGGAAGCAGGGTATTAGATGGATCTCTAGGTTCCTTTCTGCCAAAGGATTTTGCAATCTAGTAATACAAGTTGGTGTAAAAGTTACCTTTCATGGAGCACTTGGAAAAAAACCAGCGTAGTCAGAAAACCTGTGCTCTAGTCACTTGTTAGTCATATAGTCATGGACAAATTACCAAATATGAATGAGCATTGGTTTCATCATTTATGAAATGGAGATAATTAATTCCTGTCCTGTGTACTTCATAGTATTATTGTGAGGATCAAAGGATATAATGTATGTGAATATATATGATTACATATATAACAGTGTAAGGTTGGTATCATTAACATTTGAAAGAGTTGGGATACTTTGAGGAGTCCCAGTGGCTAAATTCATCCTTTTGGGAAGTTAGAGACTTGTAAAATGAGTGCCAATGGAAGCAAAACAATCTTGTTCCTTATCCTAACAAACCAGCTGGACAGGTTTGCTTTTTTTGTAAGGTGGATAAAGAAGCAAGGGAAACGGTCTAAGCAGTCTAAGTCACCTCTAACAGGGAGCAGTTTTCCTCCTGCACAGTTTAAGGATTAGGGAAAGACTGAAGTGACTGTTTACCAAGAGAAAGTTATCCATCTATAGTTGATCCAAGTCAGCTATGTTGGTTTTAGGGTTAGCAGAGGTTTGCTGTTTAAGAATAAAGTTGTGTTTAGATTTAATTTATGATAGTTTGAGGGGATTTAACATGTATGGAAAACACTGTAACCTTAAAGTCCTGTATAATTATGAACTTTAAATAAACATGCCCTGTGCCCAAGATCATCAATAGGGAACTTGGAGGAATGAAGACAAGAAACTTCTTCTATTAGAATGCAAGCACTTCATTCCTTTCTAGTCTCTTGAAATTTTTTTTAAATATAAATTTATTTATTTTTAGTTTTCAACATTCACTTCCACAAGTGTTTGAGTTCCCAATTTTCACCCCATCTCCCCCCCCCCACCCCAAGATGGCATGCATTCTGAATATCCCTTGCCCTAGTCTGTCCTCTCTTCTATCTCTCTCCCCTTCTCTTATCCCCTTCCCCTTCTATTTTCCTGTAGGGCAGGATAGACTTCTGTACCCCATTTCCTATATTTCTTATTTCCTAGTAGCATGTGAAAACATTTTAAAAAATGTTTTTAAAACTTTAGGTTTCAAATTTTCTCTCTTCCTCCCTCTCCACCCATCCTCATTGAAAAGGCAGGCAACTCAATATAGGTTGTACATGTGCAGTTATGCAAAACATGTCCATAGTAGACATGTTGTGAAAAACTAACTCTATTTCCCTTAATCCTATCCTGCCCTCCCATTTATTCTGTTCTTTCTTTTGACCCTGTCCCTCCTCAGAAGTATTTACTTCTGATTACCCCCTTTCCCAATCTGCCCAACTCTCTATCATTCCCCTGTTCTCTTGTCCCCTTCTCCCCCTATTTTCCTGTAGGGTAAGACAGATTTCCATACCCAATTGAGTGTGTATACTATTCCCTCCTTAAGCCAAATCCTATGAGAATAAGATTCACTCATTCCCTCTCACCTTCTCCCATTTCCCCTGTAAGAGCCTTTTCTTTTCTGTTTTTTTTTGTGAGATAATTTACCCCATTCTACCTCTCCCTTTCTTCTTCTCCCAGTATAATCCTCTCTCACCCCTTAATTTTATTCTCCAGATATGACCCCTTCATCTTCAGCTCACCCTGTTTCTCTATCTATCTGCATATACATACATATAATTATTTTCCTCCAACTACCCTAATACTGACAAAGTTATAGATGAGTTATAAATATCATCTTTCCATGCAGCAATGTAAACAGTTCAATCCTAATAAGTCTCTTATGATTTCTCTTTCCTGTTTACCTCTTCATGTTCCACTTGAGTCCTGTATTTGAAAGTCAGATTTTCTGTTTAGCTCTGGTCTTTCCATCAGGAATGCTTGAAAGTCCTCTATTTCACTGAATGACCATTTTTTCCCCTGAAGGATTATACTCAGTTTTGCTGGGTAGGTGATTCTTGGTTGTAATCCTATCTCCTTTGCCCTCTGGAATATTATATTCCATGCCCTACGGTCCTTTAATGTAGAAGCTCCTAAATCTTGTGTTATCCTGATTGTGTTTCCACAGTACTTGAATTGTTTCCTTCTGGCAGCTTGTAATATTTTCTCCTTGACCTGGGAACTCTGGAATTTGGCTATAATATTCCTAGGAGTTTTCCTTGGGGATCTCTTTCAGGAGGAGATCTGTGGATTCTTTCAATTTCTATTTTGCCCTCTGGTTCTAAAATATCAGGGCAGTTTTCCTTGATAATTTCTTGAAAGATGATGTCTAGGCTCTTTTTTTGATTGTGGCTTTCAGATAGTCCAATAATTTTTAAATTCTGTCTCCTGGATCTATTTTCCAGGTCAGTTGTTTTTCCAATGAGATATTTCACATTGTTTTCTAATTTTTCATTCTTTTGGATTTGTTTTACAGTGTCATGATTTCTCATAAAGTCACTGTCTTCCAATTGCTTTATTCTAATTTTTAAGGAAGTATTTTCTTCAGTAATCTTTTGGACTTCCTTTTCCATTTGGCCAATTTTTCTTTTTAGGGCATTTTTCTCCTTATTGGCTTTTTGGACCTCTTTTGCCATTTGGGTTAGGCTATTTTCTAAGGTGTTATTTTCTTCAGTATATTTTTGAGTCTCCTTTAGCAAGCTGTTGACTTGTTTTTCATGATTTTCTTACATCACTCTCAGTTTTTCCTCTACTTCCCTTACTTGCTTCTCAAAATCCCTTTTGAGCTCTTCCAAGACCTGGGACTGATTCATATTTTTCTTGGAGGCTTTGGATATAGGAGCTTTGACTTTGTTGTCTTCTTCTGGTTGTGTATTTTGATCTTCTTTTTCACCAAAGTAAGATTCTGTGGTCTGACTCTTTTTGCGCTGCTTGCTCATGATCCCGGCCAATTACTTCCAATGTGGAGAATGTACTGTCCCAGGCTTTGGGGGGTTTGTACAGCTGTTTTCAGAGATACTTGTAGGGACCTGTAAATTTTCAGTTCTTCCAAGGTGGTTATGATAAGGGGCGAGGTGTTTACTCCTTTCCTGGCCTGTGACTACAAGTACTCCTTTCTGTCCTGTAACTGTGAGGAGGGGTTTCTCTCCACAACCACTACAAGCTCCACCACGCCAGCGCTCCTCCTCACCCCAGCACCACCGCCCAGAACTGAGGCCCAGATCCAAACACAGGCAAAGCAAGAGATTCCTGCCTCAGCACTGGCAAAGAGATCCCTGCAATCCCTCTCTGATCAGCCACTGGATTCCCCCTCAGTCTGTGGGCTGGAAGCTCGGGAAGCAGCTGCTCCGCCCCAGGGCCAGGCTTTTGGGGGAATGGAGCTGAGACCCCGCCTTCCTCCTGACCACCGACAGAAACAGACTTTTCCCACTGACCTTCTAAGTTGTCTTTGGCATTGGTGGATTGAGGAGTCTGGAAACCTCCATAGCTGCCCACGATTCAGTCCTCTGAGGCCTGCTCCAGGTTTGCTGCGGCCTGTGCGCCCATGCTGTGCTGCGCTCCCAGCCCGGCATGATACACCTTTCTGAGCAATCATCCAGGTTGTCTTGGGGTGGAAATTTGTTTCACTCTGTCTTTTTGTGGGTTCTGCTGCTTTAGAATTTGTTTAGAGCTATTTTTTTATGAGTATTTAGAGGAGTTTGGAGGAGAGCTCAAGCAAGTCACTGCTTTCATTCTGCCATCTTGGTTTTGCCCCCGCATCCTTGCAATTTCTAAAATGTATTTACTTTTAAATTCTGTGTTTACATTTTAAAGTTTCTACTAAGTTATGGTCTTTTCATCAGAAATACTTGGAGGTCCTGTTTCATTAAACGTCCATTTTCTCCCTATAGGATTATACTCAATTTTTTTCTGGGTAAGTTATTCTCGGTTATAAGCTTACTTTTTGCCTTTGGGATTATGGTATTCCAAACTCTCTTCTCATTTGATGTGATAGCTGCCAAATCTTGTGTGATCCTATGATTTCTAGGTACTTGAACTTTCCTTCTGAATGCTTACAATAATTTTTTTTTCTTTTTAACCTGGAAACAGAATTTTGGCTTACATTTCTGGGAATTTTCATTTTGCGATGTCTTTCAGGAGGTGACCAGTGGATCCTTTCTATTTTTACTTTGCCTTCCAGTTCTGACACAAGAACCTTAAAGAGAATGGCCAGGAAAATATTTATTGCTTGATCCACTTTTATAGGTACAAGGAAAAAGCTGACTGCCAAGTCAGAAGTTTTTGAGAATGCTAAGCATAGGGTTTTAAGGTCTGGGAGAAATGGGGCAGATGATTAGGTTGAAGTATGAACCTGCTTATCTCCTGACCTTATAGTACCTGGATGCCTCATATTTGACATGGAAGTATAGATTTTCTGTTATGGACAATGATGACTTTAACTGGAGCCAAAATCTCTTCTCTGGAGGAAAGCTGTGCTCATTACATGGATGACTGTTTTGGTTTGTAATTGTAACCTTTAGCCTGGTTCACTGCTCCCACCCACCCTTCAGGTTTCTGCACCTTCATTAACCCTTCATATAGCCTCTGGCCAACAGAAAACATTTGAGTCAGGCAGCTTCCTCACAATATTTTTGAAGGTTCTAGATGTGAGACCTTCACCCTGACCCTTTTCCAGACCTGGACATTAAGGAAAGTTTAAGTGGGGCTTTCATCAGAGTCTTCATTCATTCTGTTTAAAGAGGCAGCCAGTCAAATCCAAAAAACATTTAAATGTCTGTCATGTGCAAGAAGCAGTGTGTCATAATGGATACAGTTGGTCAAATGCAAGATCCAGATATGTCTTACCATTGACACATTGGCAGTTTAACCCTCAGCAATTACAGTATCTGTGCTCTAGGCAGTTTTCTTTTTCGGTGAGGCAACTGGGGTTAAGTGACTTGCCCAGGGTCACCCAACTAGTTAAGTGTCAAGTGTCTGAGGCTGAATTTGAACTCAGGTCCTCCTGACTCCAAGGCCAGAGCTTTATCCACTGCACCATCTAGCTACCCCTAAGCAGTTTTCTAAAACTAAGTTGCAAAGGGAAAACAAAACAAGTCCCTGCCCTTTTGCTTCTTTAGGAACATATTCTGATGGACAGACCTCTGGGTCAAAGGGGAAATGGCCTTAAGGAAGGACAGGTAGGAATTAGTATCTGGGCCGTGTGCTGATATTTATTTACTCCATCACAATGCTGTGAGATGGTATAGCATTCATTTCATTGTTAAAGATTATCTCTTCCAGCTAAGAATCTGGAATTCCCTAGACCTTTTATACTCCTAGAGGGCAGATAAATATTCTTTAGAATATTTTATCCAGAATACCTAGCATGCTAAAATATTAAAAGCAGTTGGAGCTATGGCTCAGACCATAATCCAAATCTGATTGCTGCCTGGAATTCCTGCTCCCTTCAGATAGCAAGGGGAGGCTGCTAGAGGAAACCACTTCCCTCGCAAAAGGAAAACAAAGCCTGTAGCCATGTCACCAGCTCCTTGCCTGGACCTTCCTGTGCAAGACTGTTCAGCTAACCCTTTGTAGAATAAGATCAAGGCATCAGAGAACTCTTTCTTGCTCCTGTTGTCACTGAAGGGCTTTGGTTCATCCCTGAGGTGACACTGCCTCCCAGAGGCCCACACCTGTTGCTGCACCTGTTCCCAATAGGGAACATATTCTAGAGATTCAGAAAATGGATTGGCTACTGGGAATAAAGGTTTTACCTAAGATGTCGTCGTCCTGTAGCCACTGATGATCTACAGGTG